CTGCCCTGGCTGACAGACGCTCTTCGGATCCGCGCGTTGCAGGCGGGAAATTCCAGCGGGCGCCGGTGAGTCGCTCAAAGCCGGGAAGGGCGAAGGGGCAAGGAGGGCGATCGCAGCCGCCGCACCGCTAGCAAACCCGCCCGGCAGGTCCCAAGCAAGCCACGCTCACCCAACGCACCCCGTCGTCGGCCTTTCTTCTCCACACTCCATCATCCCTCGATCCCGGCTTTTCACCGCACACACCAGCAGATCTCTACCAGTGAGTGACTCTCACGCTCGCAGACCGCAGCAGGAAGCGACGCCGAAAGGCGCTGTGCGGCTGCTGGGAGCGCCACTGCGGCGACCGGTGCCCTGACAATCTTATTCCTCGTTCCCCTTCCTGCTTCGTCCGTCTCGCCTCTGTCGCTCGCCGTCTCCGCCATCCCGCTATCACTGTCGACCGCTTCCACTTGAACCATCGTCAAATCACCCATCGGCTACCCTCCGCCCGCGCAGCAATGCCCGTCGGAGCCATCGCACCCATCACCGGAAAGCTGCGCAAGCGCCTTATCCTCGACCTCTCCGTCGCCCTCGGTGGCGGTGTCGCCCTCGGATACGGCTACTGGTGAGCATTCCGAGGCGGTCCGAAGATATCCTGGGCAAAGGGTCGCGCGGGGTCAGATCGTCGAATGGGTGGAGGCGCCCCTGGCTCGGTCCGGAAGTGCGGCAGCAGCGGCAGCAGCGGCGGATGGGAAGGATGCCTCGTCGTCATTGGATCGTGCCTCGCTGGGCATTCGAAACTGGCTGGCGGTGCAATTCTTGTGACTAGATGCTCACAGCAGAGGCAGCAGACGCCAAGTTGGAGGAGCACTTGTGGCCAGGCGGTGGCGGAACAGGGGGAGCTGGCCCTCGTCTCGGTGCAGGCCGCTCGTCCTTGGCAAGCCCTCGTCGCCGAATCCGAAACTCACACTGCCCGCTTCCTTGTCGCACCCCCCGCACGCACAGGTACGGCGTCCACATCCCCTCGGTCCAGCGCCGTGACGCCTTCTACGCCAAGCTCCAGGCGCAGCAGGCCGCCGAGTAGACCCTTGGACCTCGACCTCTGGACGCTCGCCGTGTGACCATGACCAGCATGCTCATGTAGTGCTGCCGAGTCACGCCTGCTCCCAGGCGTCCGTCCGAGTGCAATCCGAAAACAAACCTCGCCTCTGTCCCGTGCCCTGTGCCAAGGCTTTCGTCCAGGCCACGCTGCGCCATCTTTGCCACCGACGAGGATGGGCGCGATCCGTGCAACGTGCAGTGCTCCTCGAATGCGCTCGGAACGGTCACTAGAAATACAGGGGGTTGCAACGACAGGGATGGAAGGCCTCTCAGGTGGACAGGCACCACAGCTCGAGGCACCGACGAGCACGCAGGCCCATCGCCACCCGACTCAGCCCGAGCAGGTGCTGCGGTTCATCCAGCTCTCCTTGGTCGGCTTGCCGCCGGCGTCCTTGCCGGGCCCGTACAGGCTGGCGATGGCCGCACTGACGGGCTGAGCGCGGCTCTTGACGGCGGCATTCTGTTGCCGCGTCAACTCAGCCACCCGCATCGCTGCAGAGACGCCCGGCGCGGTGGCGCTCATGGTGGGCCGCGTCGATTCCTCGAGCTTGGCGCGCTTGGCTGACGGCGTGAGCGCATCGTCGAGGTCATTGTCGCCATCTCGTTCCGCGTCGCCAAGTCCATCTGCAGATCGACGCAGTGACGCAGCTTTGCCGTCGCCGCCGCCGCCACTGCCGTCATGCGCCAGCTCGGCCGTCAGCGCGGCAATCTTGGCTTCCCGCGCCGCCTTCTTCTCGGCCTTTTTCCGCTTCTTCTCCTCTCTCGTCGCGGCATCTTCGCCGCCGTCGGCCGCATGCCCGCCACCGTTGGCTGAGCCCGCCGCTTTAGTGGCCGCCTTTCGTGCGGCTTCCTTTGCGCGCGCCGCCTCCATGGCTTTGCGCATAGCGTCCTCTTCGCCGTTGGACGGGTTGATGACGACGACTTGGCCGCCGGCTTCCGGCTCCTTGCCCTTGGCCAGGTTGCTGGCACGGAAGTCGGTGCCACAGAGCGGGCACTGGCGAAGGGTGTCGTCGCTGCCGTTCGTGGTGGCGGTGGTGGTGGTGGTGGTGGCGCTGGACGATGACGAGGGCCTGGTCGATTTGACCTCAGAGGCGATGGCGCGGAGGCCGCTTTCGCTCATGACGCAGCCGCAGGGCTGGAGGTAGACGAAGCGGTACTTGCCGTTCATGTCCTTGGAGGTGAGCGGGCAGATGAAGGGGGCGGCGTTGGACTCGGACGAGGTGCTGGTGGGCGAAGGCGGGCGGAAGTTTGGGTTCTTTGTGAGCTTGAGCTCGCGTACGTCCTTGAGGCCGCGGATGTGGCCGGCTGCGATGTCGTCGATGCCGCCCTTTGGACGGTCGCCGCGGTGGAGGAGGTAGTGGACGACGGCGTCCTTGTTGTAGAGGCGGCCGAGGGCGTCTGAGACGATGGGTGCGCGCAGAGGCTGGCGAGAGAGGGTGCAGAGCGACCAGAGGGCCTGGCGGATGGTCTCTGGATCGGCCTTTTCCAGGACGGCCTTTGTGCGGACGAGCTCGTCGCGGCGAGCGATGGATCCTCCGTCGTTGCCCTGGCAGCGGAGACGAGGCGGGTCGGAGCAGAGATGTGGAGGGGCCAGGCGGAGGTCAGTACGGTCGACTCGACTGGCGCAAGGATATGGAGCGATGGCAGTGGCCCATAGAGGTGTCTGCTTACCATTGCGAGGAGTGTGGATAGGTGAGTGCTTGAGGAGTGTGCCAAAAGGAGCGGTGCTGTGGCCTGGTAAAGTGGTGGAAGAAGGGATCCAAGGTGCCGAGGTGGGGAGGGAAGTAGGGTGGCGCCGACGACTGCGCAGCGGCAAGGCCCCCAGGCAGGCGGCGCCGCAGGGTCTGGCCGAGGGTGGCCAGGCCAGGCCAGGCTAGGCCTAGGCTAGGTCAGGGCCCGCCTGGAAGCAAGCCGCGGCGGCCAGTGGAGAAAAGGCGACCTGGACTCAGGCCGCACTCTCTTCCGTCTTCCGAAGGCAGAGGCGCGCCCCCGCTGCCCCAAGCCGCTCCTTGTCCCTTCTCCTCATCCTACCATCACCCATCGCCCTACCCTTTCTCCTTTACCCTTGCCGCTCTGCTACGCACCGTCATTGTGCCACGCTCTGACGCCCTGCTCTGCTCCCACGGTCCGTGTGCGATCCGCCACTGCGGACATCTGCTGCAATCTCTGGGCGCAGTCTCGATTCGACAGGCACCGACCCACGCCTCACCCCATCGACTGGACAGCACCGGCAGCGCCCTGTCATCCGTTATTGACAGCCAGCCGAAGGGCAAAGGATCGAGAGGCGAGTGTGGACCGCGCATCAGAGGGACGACACTGCCCGACGACCGCCCACACGCCTCTCAGCCCGGATCGCTGTAGGCCAGGTCGGCAGAGACGAGCCCAGTCACGCCGCAAGCACAAGCGTCCGTGACCCTGGCTCCAAGGTAGCAAGCGGACACTACTCGAACAGCCTGTACAGTACGCATCCTCGACACTCGACCGCCTCTCAAGATGTTCTTTCTCGTGAGTGGATGATGGCCAGGCCTTGTCGCCCACGGGTCCCTTTCTGAACTCGCACTGACATCTCCATTGACCTCGGACACGCCCACGAACTACACAGCAAGAGCTCGAGCACCGCACGGAGCTGCATCCGTCCTACTTCGGCCCGTCAATGATCGAATTCCGTAAGTGGACGCTCGCGGAGCTCAAAGCCAAACGCGGCTCTGGCCCGGCCGCTCATCCACTCGCCTTGCCCTTCCTGCCCCTACCCCCTGCTTGTACCAAACAGTCGATCAAAAGCTCAGAGACGACGTCGAGGGGACATGTACGGGCAGATATGTGAGTCTGAGATCGGGGGCACCGCATCTTGCACGCCCGAGGACGCAGCAGCTGACGAGGCTCGCGAGGCCTCATCCGCATTCCAGGGCTACATCATCAAGGTCATCGGCATCAAGGAGGTGGGACAGGGCAAGGTGATGCCAGGGACGGGTCTGGCGCAATTCACGAGCACGTACCAGGCCATCGTGCTCCGGCCGGTAAGGATCACGGCGCACGCGCTCAGCTTCGACCCGGCTGCCTCTGCTCAAGCGACCGCGCACTGACAGCAACCTTGTCCTCCGTCTGCCCATCTGCGCACTTCGTCGCGCGCGATACCGGGACTGCAGTTCAAGGGCGAGGTGGTGGATGCCAAGATCACCAACGTCAACAAGATGGGCTTCTTCGCCGAAGTCGGGCCGCTCAATGTCTTTGTGTCGTCGCACCTCATCCCGATCGAGTACAAGTTCCAGCCAGAGTCGAACCCGCCAGAGTTCGTATCGGCACACGATGTGAGTCGGCCGCGCAGACGCCACGCTGCGATGGACGTCGTGATGGGCTCGGGCTGAACACGCGGACCCCATCTACGCTGCGATCGTGTGACGGCGCGGTAGAACCTGGTCAAGGGACGCAAAGTCAGGCTCAAAATCGTCGGTACGAGGGTGGACGCCAACGAGATTGTGAGTTTGCGCTTCGTCCGCTGTTGTTCGCCCCTTGGACTTGGCGGCGACTTGGACGCGCTCGGAGACTGACGAGCTGCGTCCGTTGGCACCCGACCCTGCAGTTTGCCATCGGGACGATGAAGGAGGACTACCTCGGTCCCTTTTAGGCGTCGTGGCGTGGGACCCGGGTTCTCATCCCGCGTCTGCGCACCCGTCTGCGCACCTGCATGCCTGTACCTTGCCATGCATGCAATCGTCCGGGGCTCACCTAGCTCGGTGTCTCTCGTCGTGCGCTTGGACGGACAACGGTCTGCACCACCCGAACGTCACACACGATCGCGAGCGCAACGTGTCCAGTGGCGCAGTCCGACTGCGTGAGGGGTCAGGGAATGCGGGCAAGAAACAGCTGCCGCTGCTGGATTTTAGTGAAGAAAGACGACCACGCAGTCCAATGCTCGCCAGAGTGGATACACGGAGAGGGGAGGAGTGGCACAAATCTAGATTCCTCGGACTCGGACGGACAGAGGGATGGACAGAGGGGTGGACAGAGGGATGGCCCACTACGCCTTGGCCTGGGCAGCGACGTCCTTGTCGCCCTCCTCCCTCGCCGTGACCGAGACGCCAGACGAGGCATCGACGACAATCTCGACCTCGAGCTTCTTGGCGCCCTTGGATTTGAGGGCGACGAGGAGCTCGACGACCTTGGCCGCGGGCTTGGTCACGGCCGTCTTGACCTCCTCGGGCTCGAGCGGCTCGTCGTCCTCGTCATCCTCGTCGGCGGGTGGTGGCGCGATGGTGTCGACGCGCACCGTCTCGTCGCCCTCTGCGAAAGTCAACGCCACCTGGCCGGCACCCTGCGCGACGGGGAGGCGGTACGTCCTTCGCACCGGCAGCGGCGTGTGGGCCGGGACGAGGGTGACGAAGAGCTTGCCGTCGACGACCTGCTTGTCGTCGCTTCCCTTGGGGGCGTCGAGCACCAGGCCAAACGGCTTGGACGTGGCCGCCGCCTTGAGCTCGGCCACCTCGGCGGCCGGCTTAAAGGGCAGCGACGAGAGCAGCTTGCCCTCGACGTTTTCCGACGGCGTCGCGGCAATCAGCTGGGCCTGGACGGCGCAGCCGCGTGCAATGACCTGGTCGGCGTCAATCGAGCCCGTGATGCGCGTCGTCTCGCTCTCCTCGGGGAAGAGCATCGAGAGGCGATCGACGAGGCCCGTCAGCTTGGCCGAGCCGCCGGCGAGGATGACCTCGTCGACCTGGCACGCCTCGAGCGACGCCTGCTGCAGCGCCTTTTCGACCGTCGCCGCCACCTTGCCGTACGACGGGCCGGCCAGCATGTCGAAGCGCATCCGGTTGACGCTTCCGGTAAAGTCGATGCCCTCGGCCAGCGACTCGACGCTGCACTGGGCCGAGTTGGACGCCGAGAGGGCGCGCTTGGTGAACTCGGCCTCGTTGCGCAGCTTGGCCCACGCGCGCTTGTCCGAGTCGCCGATGGTGACCTTGGTCTTCTTTGTGAACTCCTTTGCAAAGAAGTTGATGAGCGCCTGGTCCAGCGCGAAGCCGCCGACGCTCGAGTCGTGGACCGAGGCGAGGGCCGAGTAGATGCCGCCGCGAGCCGCGACGACGGTGACGTCGGTCGAGGAGCCGCCCATGTCGACGACGACGACGTTGCGGTCGAGCTCCTTGCCGTGCGGGTACGGGGCGCTCTCGACGCCGTCGGGGGCCGATGGCAGCTTGCCGGGGCCCGAAGGGCTGGTGAGGCCGTAGGCGGCGAGGGCGGCGGCGGGGGCAGCGATCGTCTGCAACACGATGAGGCCGGCCTCGGTGGCGGCTGCCTTGAGGGCGGCGATCTGGGCCTCGGAGTACCACTGGGGCACGCTGAGGACGGCGCCGGCGATGGGGACGCCCGAGAGGAAGTCCTTTGCGGTGAGGAAGAGGGAGCGGAGGAAGCGGACGGCGACGTCGTGGGCGGTCAGGACGGTCTCCTTGTCGTCGATGGTGACCTTGAAGGCGGGTGCGCCGTTGTGGTCGATGACGGCGGCCGAGGCGCGGTCCTTTTCGGCGTCGGTGAGGTCGCTGAAGCTGCGGCCGAGGAGGTTGACGAAGCGGTCAATGACGTTGGGGGCGTTGCGGATGAGCTGCGGGGTGGCCTGGTTGCCCATGTAGACCTGGTCGCCGTTGAAAGCGATGCGGGTGGCAATCTGACGCTCGCCGTCCTCGTTGGCGATGACATCGGCGCGGCCGCTGGGATAGCGGGCGGCGGCAGGGGTTGCGGAATAGGGAGGCGGGGGAGACAGAGGCACAGACAGCCGTGATGAGGAGATAAGATGCAGATGAAGATGCAGATGAAGATGAAGATGAAGATAAAGGAGAACAGCGAATGATCAAGGCGGTGTCAGCAGGGCGAGAGAAGTTCTGAGGATCCACCGAGCCTCGAGGGGTGGCACTCACTGCTGGTTGATGCATGCGATGCTGCCATACGAGTGGCCGAGGTTGATGCCGATGACGGCTCCAGCGGACTCGGTCATTGTGCAAACTGTGCGTGTATGGGACGGGGAGACGGTGATGGGAGAGGGGCCGAGAAGAGGGTGCGATGGAAGGAGCGTCGTCGAGGGTGATGGCCGGGAAGAAAGCCAGCAGGAGGCCTAGGGCAACGGCCAACCGCCTGCCACCAGGCCCTCCGCTGGGGGACAAGGACGAGAAGATCGCTTCCGAAGTTTTGACGCTGGCACGGGTAGTGGGCCGACGTCGGGGCGGACGCACCCAGACGGCCACTCTGCGCTGGGGCCAGCAGAGGGCAGGACAGGAAAAAAATCCTCGGGAAATTGGAGAAGAAAATTAAAAATCTGCACCCCTCTGGCCCACCGTTGCACCAACTTGGCTATGCCCCCACATTCCCGAAGTCCGAGGCCCGAATGGATGGCCACCCATCTGCCTCGATTCTCGATCACGACCTGGCCCGCTGATTGGCTGGCGTGCAGGAAGCGGAGCCGACACGGGGCCGGCCTGCCTCTGGCTCTCTGTACGCGACGCGCCTGGAAGCCTGGCGAGCGGGCAGGTGTTGGTTCCGGCCAGGCCAGGCCAGCTAAGGTCCGGCAAGGGTGTTGGTCCGCTCACGGCGTACCCCTGCCCGTGCGCCACCATCCCTCCGGCCTACTTCTTCCACACCTGCACAGACGACGACCAAAGATGACGGTCTCGCTCCTTCCGCCGCCGCTTTACCTCGACGCCTCGAGCGAGGCGGGCGGGCTGCCACCGGTACAGGCCAACCTCATGCCCTTCCACATCGACTACTCGGGCCCGGCCCCCATCGACGCGTTCATGGTGCTGCGCCAGGCAGAGGGGCACGAGGACGAGACACCTGGCGCGGAAAGCCATGATCCGACCGCCGTAACGGCAAAACCCACCGCCGAGAGCCTTGTCTCGGCCTTCCGCGGCAGAACGATCCAGTCGACCCAGCTGCCCTTGCCCAAAGGATATGTCGGGCGCATCGTCAGCGCATCGACGTCCGTCGTGCCGTCTGCAACACCCGCGTCGAGTGGCCCGGAAGTCGACCCGGACCGACCGTCGTCTGCAAAGAAGGCCAGGCTCGACGCAGCCGCCTCGTCACGGGCGCAGCGCAACCGGTTGCCTCCACCACCCAAGCCCGCAAAGATGCAGCGCTTCTCCATGGACGACGAGGACGACGATGAACAAGAAGAGGACGAAGAAGAGGACGAAGACCATGACGAGCGCGCAGAGGCAGGGAACGGCCTGGATGGGCTTCCGACGCAGGGGAGAGACGGCGCGGGCAACGACGGCGACGACGACCCAGAGCCCGCTCAACTTGCATCGCCAGCGGAACCTGCGCAACCAGAAGTCCGGCAAATGCTCAGGCCCATCGCTGCCATGGCCGACGATGCGATACGCGTATGGGGTCCCGACGGTCCCGTCGATCGCGGCGACGACGTCTTCTTCCGCACCGTCGAGGAGTGGGTCGGCGTCGTCTGCGCAGAGGTGAGTCGGCCGCTCCACCACCGTGCGCCCCTGCCACCCACATGCTCACCAGACCCGCTGCGGCGTCCTCCGTCTCCGCTTTCCCTCAGATTCACGCAGATTGACAGCGATTCAAGACGGCCTGCCTTGCGCGCGCAGCAAAATCACATGTAAGATGAGACAGGCCAGCAAGGGAAGAGAAGCACAAGGAGGCCTGCGCGATGCCTGAAACCAGGTGCAACACTTCAGGTCTGCGGATACCCCTCGACGGACGCCCTCCTGACCTTGATGAAACGCGTCTGCGGCTCGCCCTTCAAGGACGCCACCACCACTCTGCTGCGCTCGTCACCCGCCATTGCGTCCCTCTTGAGGTGGATGTTCAACACGCCCAGCACGCCGACGTTGCCCGACCCCTCGGTCTGCTGGTTGGACCCGACGATGAGGTTGAGGTTGCCGTCCGACTCGTTGTTGTCGCCGAGGATGAGGTTGAGGTTGCCCTGTCCGTCCTTGCCGCCCACCTCGTTGCCGTTGCCGAGGACGACGACGCCGTTGCCCGTCGCCGACGAATCCGTGTTGCTCCCGACCACGTTCCCGGACCCGACGACGGCGACGGCGTTGCCATTGAGCGAGCCTCGACCCACGCCCGGTCCCTGGCCGTTGTTGGATCCGATCTGGTTCTGCGCGACCGGATCAAGGACGAGGTTCGAGTTGCCCGACCCGTTACCAACACTCACGTCCGCGGGCGTGTCGGAGGGCAAGCCGTTGCCGTTGTTGGATCCGTCTCCTTTCCCTCCGAGGACGAGGTTGCCATTGAGCGCCCCATTGGCCACCGCGACTCCTTGGTGGTCGTTGCCGTTGTTGCTGCCCACGCCCTGGCCGCCCACTGCGCCGTTTCCATTGAGCGCGCCGTTGAGCAGCGTCAGCGGCTTGGTCGACGAGGAGGAAGGCTCGGCGGCAGTAGCATTGCTGCTCGAGGTGCTGTCGGTGGACACGCTGGACGCGCGCCGTGCCTCGATGTCGGAGAGGCGCAGCAGGGAGACGGATCGAGCCTCGTGCTCGACTGCCCGTTCCAACTGCATTGCCGCGTCTGCGCCTTGTCCCGGAGAGCTTGTCGCGGGCGCCGCTTGAGACAGGCCCAGCAAGGCAGCCGCGACGATCGCGATCGCAGTCCTGTCGAGCTTCATGGTGGATCAAAAGAGCGGTACGGAAGGATCTCGATCGTCGTTTGGCGGTTAAGAAGTGGTAGCGGGCGCAGGGAGGTGGGAGATGCTGGCAGCGAGGGAGGCTTTGCAAAAGAATGTGGCAAGAACGATAGGCCGAGAGGGCGGGACGGGGGTCGGAGGGGGGGGGGGGATGGGGAGGAGTTGGTGGAGGGGCGAGGAGGAGGTGAGAGCGAGGCTACGAGGTGGTGGCACAAGGAGTTGACGTCGACTCTGGACCGAGGTAGGGTCACGGAGTGGTACAGCACGTCCAAGGCAAAGTCAGCTGCTCCATTCATCCGCCACGGCGAGCTTGAGCGGCCAGACCTCGTGGCACGGTCGTCTTGGAGTCGCTCGCGGCCGGGCGCCAACGCTGATGGCGAGACAGGGAACGACACCGAATCTCGTGGTTGGCGAACGCGGCGAGGACGAGTCCGTTGCCCGATCTGCCAGTCAGGAGACGATGAGGCATCGTCCAGGGTGAGGCAGAACTTTGGGGCTTCAAGGCGGGGCTGCCGTTGAAAGAGGAATACATCATCGAGGACGATTGCAAGGCCAGAGAAGGACACGCGTAGCAAGAAGAAGGAAGGAAGCCGACTAGCTGGCTCCTTTGCTCGGCTCGGCCTCGGGAACGGTTGCGAGACAAGCCAAGCAAGGCCAGGCAGAACCAAGCCACCTGGAGCTACTCAAAGGTGGCTACATAGTTAGTCCAAGAGACGGTAGGGGGAGCAAGGGGCTGGCGGCTGTGGGTGCGGGTGCGGGTGCCGACGACGATGCTGCTCTGCATCACGTCCAGGCAAGAGGAGCCGCACACTCGCCTACTCCGGGCTGGTGGATTGGTAGGGTCCGCTGCTGCGCTCGAGACTGCGTCGGGGCGAGCACAGGGACTCGAGATGCGAATGGGATCAGACCATGCCGGGATGCTCCCGTGACCCACCGAAGCCTGCCGAGTGCTTCCGTCGTTAGGGCAATGAAACCAATCGCGGAGGCGGTAGGTAGGTACCAAGCGAGCTGCTCGGGTCCTCTTCTCCGAAAAGTCGGCAAAGCGCTTTGTGGTGGTTGCCAATCATCGTTCGTCTAAGGCAGCGAGTGCCGGGTGTCATGTCGTTCCCGGCGGCTGTCTGTCGGCCTGCCTGACCTGCCTGTCTCGAATGGATCTCCGCCCGTCGGGTAACGAGTGAGACCGCTAAAGATCGGAGAGGGCGGAGCGGAGCGTCAACGCTGGAACAGATACAGGTCAGCATGGAGCGACGAGACGAGACTCAGGACGCGGCTGAACGAGCGGCGGCTCCCGCTTTCAACGGGGCAAGAAGGTCAGATACAGGGGACATCCTTGCGTCTTGTTCAGTCCGCCTCGTCGAGGGCGTAGAAGCCTGCGGTGCGGGGCGCGAATAGGGGGAAAGGTCGGCGATGATCAAGAAGGTTTTCGCCGTGCTCTCGACTCCGCTAGTATCACGCTCTGGCAGGGTGAGGAGAGGTGCTTGCAGCACGGCACGAATGGCAGCAAAGGCGACAGGATCCCATTGGGCGGCGCTCTAGGACATGTCGTTGGCTGCCTGGGCGCGATTGAGCTACAGTACCCCCTTTTCTCCGAACCTAGCTGACGGTTGATCGCCGTAGGCTGCAGCCAACCTCGCCCGCCATTGCGGACCGACAGCGTCGCCTTGCCCACATCCCGTCTCGATCAGGAAGGTTCCCATAGCGTAGAGTCATGAGCGATGGTGCAAGGGGCAGGCGGAAATCCCGACCTCGTGCCATTGTCAATGTCTCCCAAGCCTTCGAGAGAAGGATTCTTTTCGATGGTCTCCGACGTAGTGCCCTGAGGACGTACGTCCACGTACTGGACGCCCTTACCCGAGGGACGGAAAAGGAGGCTGAGCCGTTGCCGAGCGCGGCAGCGTAGGTGCGGCAGCTGTAACGTGCTGTTAAAATGCGGGGTAAAGAGGCCGGCAAAAGCAGCGCGGGGGCAGCGAGGTCGATCCCGTACCGATGTGGGTGATTGCGACTTGAGCTTGGTTCCCATGCGGCCAGCACAGCACCATCGACGACGCTGGCTAGGAGTTCCCTTGGGCCCCCGTGGCCTGCTGCGCTTCGAAGGGCGCGGGCCTAGGCGAGCTTTCATCTATGCGCCCTCGGTTGGCCGCTACAAAGAGGCCTCTCCGTCCACCCATGTTCTCTATCTGCCTGTTTTTCATTTTGCCCCTGATTCATTTTGGCTGCTTTGGCTAGTGCATGTCGAGGACACGCTGCAACCTACTGTTCGATCATCGCTGAGCAGTGCGTTGTTCTGGTGGGGATTGCGATTGCGCGATTGCGAGTGAAGTTGTGAGGTTGGTTGACGCGGGGAAAAGCAGGCTGGCGGGGCGGTCTGCGGCAGCGCAGCGCATCAACTCGGACGATCCGACGCGCCCCTGCGCCGCTCGCTCTTTGACAGCTGCCGCCCCGCATTACCCCGCCGTGACGGCCGCCGCGCTTTCACACGACGTGCTCTCGCGCCATCCCTAGGCGCCCAACAGAGTCACCTCACCGCAGTCGCACCTCCCTTGGCCAGCGGCAGCGACACATTCATCACCCTGCCGTATTCTCCCGTCACAACCTGTCTTTCAGCTCTTGCACGAGCGCGCGGCACGACGCCAAAGATCATCAGTGTACAGCCTGCAGCGCTAGTTGACGCAGCCAAGCCCCCTACCTCGGCCAAGCGTGGCGTCTGCACTAGGCCATCGCACCAAGATCGACGCCTAGCGTAACTGTATGGCTAGCATCGCCTACCCAGCCGACCCCTCCGCACTGTGTATCAACCTCGGGAGAGAGCGTCACAGCTCTCTGACCGAAAGCTTACCCTCTTTGCTCGCGAGCCAGTCTGCTTGAGCGTTCGCTCCCTCGCCCGCGCACCTTTACGGCGCGCACCACGCTGCGTGTCGCTCCGGCACATCGTCCCTAGCGCACTCTCCACGCTGCTGCCGCCGCTCCCCACTCCCAGGACTCAGACATCCGTCCATCGATGGGTCGCACTCTCGAGGCCCGGGGAGCGACCGTCGGATCGGCTCGCCTGCCTGCCTCTTCGATGCACTTCAGGTCCCAGATTGAGACGCTCCATCTCCGACCCCGTCCGATCGCATCATCGACCAGCCAGAACGTGGATCGAGGGCAGAATAAGGCGGCGAACGACGCAGATTGGCCACTTTGCACCGTCCAAATTGCTCTGGGCAGAATCCACTCTCGGAATCGCATCGAAGCTTCCTCGACGTCGGCAGGAGCATGCAGAAGCACTGGCTCGTGCTGTATCTGCGAGCGTCCCCAAGCTCCAAGGTGGCCTCTGGACGCTCGCATCGTCACCGACTGTTACGGCGCAGTAGAGGCGCAGGATGGTGCCTCGATTCAGCTCATCGTAGCTTGACGTCGATGCCCGTCCCTCCTCGCATAGCCGAGCTCTGCGACCAGGCGAGCGAGGGTGAGCCCCAGTCGATCAAGCCGGACCGCGCTGTACTCGCCTTGCCCTAGACGGGTCGTCAAGCGCCCCTCACGGCATCCAACCGTCAAGGCAGTCGTCGTCAGAAACGAAGCCGCTGCTCGGAGACAGTCGCGATGCCGAGGCGACAGCGAGCTCTCCCGACGAGCCTCGCTACAGCGCCCGCCAGCGACGCGTCTCCAAGCATCTCGCCCTTCAGCGCCAACGACCGTCGTCGGGTATAAAGCCGACCCTCTCATGGTACTAGTGTGGGGCCCCTCATCTCGCTCCACATCTCTCACACCCACCTGAACCCAAACAACCTCCAATTTCTCTTCAACTTTCACCATGAAGTGCACCGCCGTCATCCTTGCCCTTTTCGCCTCGAGCGCCATTGCTGCTCCCCTCTTCCCCTCGCTCGGAAATGGCCTCGGTGCAGGCAACTTCAATGGAGCAGGCCAGAACAATGGAGGACAGAACGGCGTAGGCAACAGCGGGCAGCTTAACGGGTAAGAGAACAGCATCTTTAACGGGCTGAGCAGCTCTGTGGGCGACCGGAGTGTCGAGGCCTGCGAAGTGGACGCTGGCTGGTTTCCCACCTGAGCTTAGCCTTATACCCTCGACCATCGCCGAGAGTCTGCCGCCGTTGGCGGCATCAATCCCTTGGAAGCATGGCTGCTGACCCTCATGCATAAATCTTGAAACACCTTCCTTCCACGATGCACCAACAACGTCTCGCAGCGCTGGTGACGGTAACGGCAATATCGCGGGCACCAACAACGGAAACAGGTGAGCTGGCGCCTGGTTGTGGCGATTGGCGCACCCCGACCTCTCTTTGCTGACATGGACACCATTGCTTCTCACAGCAACGGCGTCAAAAACCTCGGACAGGGCAACGGAGGTCTCTCCGGCAACGGAAACGGTCTTGGTGCGTCTTGGTGCAATCAGCCCTTCGGTCCGTTCTCACGTCGAATCCTTCTGACAGCTTTCGTGACTATTCTATTTCAGGCACGGATAACGGCAACCAGAACGGAGTTTCGAACAGTGGCGCCGGTGAGTGTCACGATCAGGACAGTCCGAGCATCGTACCTTGGAAATACGGCGTGCTCACCGTGTCGCGCGCTTCCTTTACCTTGACCCGCCACAGGAAACGGCCTTGCTGACGGAAACCTCAACCTTGGAGGCGCTCACAATGGAAACCAGAACGGCGTTGACAATGGTGGGTGATTGAAGAGGACGTTGGGACTCTGGAAGGGGAGGAGAGATGGATACTGATGACTGGCATGCTTCTCCGACATCCCACGTTCGTCCCTCGTCGCTTTCTCGCAGGCGGATTCCTGAACGGTGAGTGACGCTACTCGGAAGCGATGCCGACGCTCTGTCCTCGCACACGTCGGGGAGGGAGCGGGGCGGACGATGTCATTGCATCGCGCAGGTCTTCGAACCGCCCGCGACGTGCTCCGCGACCTCCTGATTTTCCGCAAAACACGGCGCTGACCAACCCTCTCTCGCGCCTCCTCGACGCACCATCAGGCATCGCTTCCGGCAACGGCAACTTTGCTGGCACCGGTAACGGCAGCGGAAACGGCCAGCACAACAACTGAGCTGTCCGGACGGACGATACGATGAGCGCGGTTGCCTCTTCGCAGCTCGCCTGGCGTCTCTCGACCCGCCTGCGGGGACGGAACGCTCAGCGCTGAGCGCGGACACCGCCTCGGACCCTGTTCACGCTCCCTGATGCTCGATGTTCTCTTATCTGTCCCAGCCACGCTACCCTTTGAATCGACGCCTCTTTTCCAAACAAGACACATTGTCCCTCCAGTGGTCGATGCCGCTGGCCGGAGGCGCCTTACACAGCGCACTTTGCCTTGCTTGGCTCCTGCTCATCCGCCCACCGTGCAGCCTACCAGCCTCATGGTAGCAGAGCTGCAACGTCTGACGGCTACCGCGACGCTTAATCGCTCAGGCCCCTCCCTACCTCGAGCACAGTACATGTTATCGAGCGTTTTCTGACCGTGTCAAACACCGACTGGCCGTCGCTGCGGGAGAGGGGGAAGCATGGCGCGGGAGGGGAATGATCATAGTATTCAGAGAGGAAGAGGGGGGAAGGAGAGGGTTGCCAGTTTCCGGACGGAGTCGCTGCGATCTTCCAGCCTGGGCCGTAAGGACCGGCTGGTCGAGCGCCGAGTGAAAGCGAGCAGGGGCGAGCAAAATCCGCGCGTGAACAACAGAGGCGAGCAGAGCGATGCGGCGCGGCGCGGCCGCGAAGGGGAGGAGGGCGGGGAAAGAGAGAAGCTGCCGGCGTGTGGAAGACGGCGGCGGCCAAAGGGGAGATGATGGGAGGAGGAGAGGGAGGCATAGGTGGCGAGGCAGGAGAGAAAAGCCTGCCGCGCCGACGACCTGGCGTCCGCCACGCTCGGGCTCGAGCGCGAGACAGAGCAGCGTAAAGAGTCGCAGGGCGGTTTCTTGCAAAGGTACGGCCTCATGGGATTCGATCGCTCCGCCACAGCTGATTGTTTTCCGAAAGGCCGTAAGCAGGGCTCGATGTCCTGTGATCGCCGCGACGATAGAGGTTGCCACGTTGCAGGCGGATCTTAAAGCGGTCCTTACAGAGCCGACACCTGGACCCAGTTGATGACCGGGATAGCCTCGATGTCGACTGAGGGTCGAGACCGAGTATCGGCAGATCGTCGAAAGGGCCAGAGGTCGGGCTCGACATCAGTGGCTCTGCGCCGCGTCACCACCGACGGAACGCCACCGACGCAAGGCAGCAACTCGTGCACGCGGCAGACAGACTCACTGACGAACTCAGTGTCGACGTTGGGCTTGTTTGCCCACAGAGCCATGCCGAAGTCGTGGTACTCTTGACTGAAGATCCGCTCGACGCATCCGCCGTTGGTGCTCTTGGCGATGACGATGCTCTCCTTGACGATCGACCACGGCCTTCCCCTGGCGTTGTTGAAGCAGAACTGTCGGCCATCGGATGCAAAGGTCACAGGGCCCTGCGGGGTACTGACCGACCACTTCTGCTTGAAGGTCGACTTGGCAAAGGGCTCGGAAGCCTCCGGACGGCCGAGGGTGGACCACAAGAAAGGCGCGAGGAGGGCCAGAGGGGTGAAGAGCCTCATTCTCGAGCGTGGTTTGACGGGAACAGGGATGCAGGGATGGGATGGAAGGAGAGTCTCGTTTGAAGGGCAGCTTGGGCAGCGAAGGTGTGTGTATGAGACTTGAGGATGGACGGACGACAGGAGACAGAACGCACCGGTCTTATAGATGTTGGCAGGGCCTCGAGCGCTGCGGAGTCCTCGAGCAACGTCTTCGAAGCCCACAACACACTCGAGCTGCTTCGGGAGCCGCAGATGGGCGTGTAGCGCAACGCCCGCGGCGTTCACCCTAGCCCCACTGCTCCCCACTTTGCTTCGATCCGCTGCTGCGCCAGCGCCAGCGCCAGCGACGCCTTCTCGGACATCGCCCCGCATTTCCGATTGTATGTACAGTGTATACTTTTGTCCAGAGAGCTGAAGTCGAGGGAGGCTGAAAACTGGCGCTAGCCTCCAGAAGCACACGAGCTAGCAGTGCCGCGCTCCGATTGCAGCCGTTCCGGTAGCGCCTAGCGGCGCCAGCACGAGCTGCAGGCCTTAAGCCTTGACTGTCCGCCACGCTTAGGCTGGAGCAACACTGGCAGGTCAGACAATCATGAGCTATTGCGGCTGTTGCACAGTTGTCCTACGATGCTGGTGTGAGAGTGGCAAATGGTGACTGTTGTGCGTCGAGGGCTTTCTCAAATCGTGTTTGTCACGAGCGCAACCTCGAGCTGAAATCTCGTACCGCGCCCTGGTCCTCGCCGAGGTCGCGTTTGGACCAGCAAAGAGCCTGTCATTCTCTGGCAGCGATGCGAGCTGCCCTCTTGCTACCTCCGTAAACATCGCGCCTCCACGGCTCTTCTCCGCACCACTACGTCGAGATTCAAGAGAGCGGGATGGACGAGGGATCGAACGCTGCACTTAGTCCCGTTCTACGCTCTCCAACTACGGATTGTGAGCTGGCGGCCGTGATCGGCTCTGACGCAGAGGAGCGGCGTGGGCAGAAGCATGACGACGGCATCTGTCTACCCTTGGAGCACGGTGACCGTGGGGAAACTCGATGGATTTCGGACGGGGACGGAAGCGGAGGGACAAAACTGCGAGCGGGATGGAGACAAGTGGTTTGGACGGGCCGAGCCGCTCTTGCCGGGCATGCACGCCTGCACTTGTGACTCTGTCAAAAGCCCACGAGAACGGGCGAGAACCGACATGCGGCTTGAAGGAGAGAGGCAGCTGCATCAAGAGCAGGTGGGCACTGACGCAACGCGGATAGCGACCAAACCGCCCCGGCTGTGTACGCGACGGAAGATGATGAGGACGCGTGTTCTGTGAGCCAAGTGGTGCGCCTACCCAGCCTGACCTGTTACACCCATTGGCGTGCGCGCTGAAAGACTCACTGTGCGGGGGAAGCGTGGCGTCTGCCTCTTGCCATCGCCGAAGCTCAGGAAGTCGAGCCGCCATCTCCGCCATTGGACGAGTCATCGTCGGCTCCACCGGATGAGCCTCCGCCGGCTCCATTGGCTGAGCCATCGCCAGTAATGGATGAGCCCTGATCATCACCAGCTTGGCGCTCTTGTAGGACCGAACCAGGCTGGATGACGGGGTGCGGGGGCGCTTTGGCCGCGACGACGGCGCAGAGCAGCGCGAAGAGAGCGAGCGTGGGCGACAACTTCATTGCGGGCTTGTCGAGGACGCTGGAGTGGACGAGGATGCGTATGTCTGAGCTGTGGAGTTGGGAGAGTGGCGCAGTGCGTGGATGGAGGGCGGAGGGTGGGACGAGTGCGGATCAGAAGGCCCCCCCTTATATACCGCATCTGGCCCCAGCCCATCTCATCTGGGCGCTCTCACCGCCTCGGTCTACCACCCACCGCAGAGCGAAGCTCGATCGTGAGAAGGCGGACCGAGGGGTCGTCGTCGCTGGTCCGGGGTCGATGACGACCCACTCAACGCCAATATGGCACCCACCGTGACGGTCCCTATCGGGCGTCGGCGCTCAGCCTTGCCAGTATGACAGCGGCCCTCGGTCCCACTTCCGCCCCACTTCCACCATGACGACACCCAGTAGTGTGGGCGCTGGCTGAAGGACACGCCGAGGTGGGGCCTGCAACGCTGTGGTGGGGCTCGCACCGGGCTCCCGCCTCTGCCAAAGGATTGCCTACTTGTCCTGAGCCAATCGGGTCCGGGACCGAGGATGTTGCTCCGCGATTTAGCAAGGTCGATAGCCATGGCAACGTGCGCCGGTTGCGCTGGCAATTGACCTTTGGCGACGCAGCGCAGCACGTCTGTTCGGCAAGTGCAGCGCGATACGGTTGCGGCGCAGGCAACGACAAGATCCGTCCTAGCGCCGCACCAGCCTCAATAGGGAGGATCTCGCTCTCTTCTACGGTGCTGAACCGCACGCCAACGGCCAAGATGCACAGGCAAAGCAGACTGCCTGGGAGGAATCGAGTCGAACAGAACGAGGAGCCGCTACATGAGACAAGCCAATCTGCACGGGGGAGCCGGTCGGCAGAGAGCAGGATGGCCAGGCAGGCAAGCACTTGGAGAGCTCGGCAGGGCCACCGCACCGCTCGACATTGGGCATACCCACTTGATCCTTTGACGCTATTCGGTACAGAGGCCAGCCTGACCGAACATCATCGTCCCCGTTAAACCGACGGCTGAGCAAGGGCAGGAGGAAAGGCGCAAATGCACAACTTGAGTCTCGTCCCGTTCTTGCAAGTCGATGCGCGCGCGAGAGAGAGAGAGGAAGGGGAAACATACCGTGGGAAACCAGCGCACAGACCTGCGTATGTGCCAGCTTAGGGATTGCGCCCAGGGCCGCCGCCGTTGCCGATCGGTGGGGCAGAGCCGTGGATCTGTCCCGGACCTCCGCCCTGTTGCCCCGGTTTCTCCGGTACGCCTCGTTCTTGGATCCCGACGGGGGCGGCGTGAACACCGCCGCTGGACGAGACAAGAGCGCACAGAAGCGCGAAGAGCGGCAGGGCGACGTTGAGCTTCATGGGCGGTCCGAGGAGGGGAATCGGCTTGGTGAGAGAGGAAGACGTCTCGTATTGGTGCAGGACGTGAGGATCTTTGCTGTGTGTTTGAAGGGATGGACAGAAGATGGCAGAGGGCCACTGGCCGTGACCGCCTTATATCTGCATCTGCTGGCGACCGTCTCTCATGGTGGCGGCGTCCTTGCCTGTTCCACGGCAGAGTGCCTCTTTGTTCAACGTCTGCCGGGGTGGTGGCGCGACTGACGGATGACCTGGCAAGGGAGGGATCACGGAGGTCGGGGGCGGCAGTAGGGGGCCATATGTGCGACCTCGGAAGTTCGATCCGACGCCGTTCTTTATCGCCTCCTAGCCCACCTTTGAACCCACAGTTGCACGGGTGGAACGAGCTTTGCTGCACTGCATCATGCTGTTGCGATGGACCCGGTCCGTCCGAATTGACGATTGATGAGGGGTCGACGAGGCGCCCACAATGCGGTTGCCGCGAGGCAAGCAAGAAGGGCGCCACCGCCGAGCGGGGCGAGCCTGGACGACTTGGACAGTCCCGCATCCCTTTCTGTGCGATCTAGCGGCATGTCGGGCGGTCCTCGCAGAGAAGGGGTGAAAGCGCGCACTGGGCGGCTCGCAAGCGCCCCACGCTGACGAGGAGCGCATCAATGGCCCCCAAAGAGACGCTGGGCACGCACAGCCTGGACCCTGGCGATGGCGCAGACATGGGCCGAAGGCATCAGGGGTGGGGGGGGGGGGGGGGCGGCAACGGGCTGGACCGCCTGGACCACGATACGTACACCCCTGGTGCCAGACTGGAGACGAGGGTCGCGAGAGCCGGTTCCGCGCTTTGGGGCGTGACGGCAGCTTTCCGGGCGGTGCCACAACGTCTTGACGGCGTGTGCAAAGATATGGTAGGATCGGGAAGGCGGACCTTGCTCGCGATGAGGGTCCTACGTCTGGGAGTCATCTGCCTATGGCCGGTGGGGTCGCAAGTGGCGAGCGCCAGGCCGCTGGTGACAGTGACTCGGACGCCGGGGTTAAAAAGGTCACGCCATCCCGCACGGGTGGCTGAGCGCGATATCGGTGCATGGCGAGTGGTCGATAGAGGACGAGAGGAAGCTCGGTGTGGCCACATTCGACCGCGACGGGTGGGTGCGACTGTGAAGGGGGCCGAAGCATGATGGCTTCCGGCGATGAGTGGGCACGCAGTCGTGGTTTGAAGAGAGCCCGACCCATGCCGACGCCGCGAGTCTCGAGGCAGCGGGCTGCCAGGCGGGGCGAGGCGAGGCGGGGCCTGGATGAGCGGAAGCCATCCGAGATCCTCTCGCGCGGGTCGGAGCTGGGCCGAGCCACGCGCAGCTCGAGGAAATTTCTCGCAAGCAAGGCGCGCTCGACAGAGCGAGGCTCAGGTGCAGGCAGGGCCGCGTAAACTCCGAGCGGGCTGCCACACGGCGAGGTGGAGGTAGGCCAGGTGTGACGGCGACCAGGCCAAAGGCAGATCGACGAGCAAGCAGACGACAAGAGGACCGGCCAATTTGGCGCCTGGGATAGGTGGAGAGAGAGAGGCCCTTTGCCGACGGTGCTTGCTTCCGTTCCGTCTCTCTTGCGCGCCAGGGTAAGACGGGGTGCACCCGTTGTGCTACGGGAGGCGTTGCCGGTGGAAGCTGGTCGGATTGCGTGCGAGTCAGAGTCAGAGTGTGGTGGCATCAAAGGCCCGAGAGGGCGACGTGCGTGTCTAGGAGACAAGAAGCCGAAGCAAGCCAAAGGGTCCCGGCCCGCTGCCCGTTGCAACAAAGAGTATAGGATGTCCGAGTCACGGCACAGCCGGCCGCCGACGGGCGTGACTCGTCGACAGCGCGGCATGGATCCGCGTTGCGAAGGCCGTCAGCGCCGCCTCGTGCGTGCTGTGCTGCGCTGTCGAGGTCGAGGTGGAAGGGAAGCCGTTGCCGGGTAGAGCAGAGAGAGCGCTCCGCCATGGGACGGGTGGAGGTGGTAGGCAACGGTAGGCCTTGGTACAGGCAGGCATTATCTGGTGCGATCCACCTGGGCGGCGTCTCTCTTTCTGCTGCCGCTTTGTCGGATCTCGCGCTGCGTTTCCGTGCGTGCTGCCGCTGTGCAAAGGCCGAGATCAGATCGAGGCAGGCTAGGTGGAGGTGACGCACGCACGGATGTCGGGGGCGGGCGCGGACGCGGGCGCAGCCGTACGTGCGTTCGTGGAGCGGAGAATTTTGGGTCGTCGTGATTTTCCGCCGTTGACTCGGTCCTGCCGCCTGTCGCCGCTTAGCTTGTGAGCGTGGCCGGACATAGACACGCCCGTCGCCCCTCTCGACCCCCGGCCTCATCACCTCTTTGCCCCGTCGGCCGTCTGCCGAATCCGAACGTGGGCCGAATCCCGCGTCCATCGCTAGGCCGCCCGAGGCTCCACACGGTACCACCGAGGAAACCGAAAAAAGTTTCTTCGGGACAGGGCATCTGGCGGTCATGCCGTCAGCCTGTCGCGGCTGCTGGTGCTGCTGCTGCTGGTGCTATCGCCGAGAGAAGGCCAAGCAACGCGCGAGCCCGCTCCACCTCGACTCTCACTCCGGTCGTCTGTCGTCTGTCGTCTGTCGCTCCTTTGGCCGCCTGCTTTTGCCGGTCACCAACGACTCTTGACTGTGCCTCCCGTTCCGAACGGCGATCAAAGCCCTTCGGCGATATCCTCGAACCGTCGACGCACGCCCTGGCCTCGGCCCCACTGCCGATTGTATATAACCTCGTCCCTCGTCCCTCGTCCGCTTGGCCTTGGCAATCCACCCAGTCCCACTCACCCACCGCTCGCACCGCCTTCTGTCACAGCCAGCACCCCTCTGCGACGACGTACGAGGCAACGCGGCCTACTCCTGCCACCCAGCAGACCCGCCCGCTCGGCATCGGCACAACACCACACACACGCCCTCTCTTGCCACAAACAGCCACTCTCGGACGGCGCCCGCCATGACGTCGACACAGGCGGCCGCATCGGGCACCGACAAGGCAGGGCCCACATCGGCCTTTGCTGCATCGGACCTCTCGGGCGGACCACAGGTACCCCCCCCAAAAGGCAGGCGCCTACCCGAGCGCACAACCCGACAACCTCAAGGCGGCCCCCGGCCAGCCCGCCCAGCTGCACGCCACCGACAGCCGCGGCACCTGGGGCGAAGACACCGGAGGCGAGCACGTCGACGTGCAGCAGGCCATGAAGGATTTCCAGCTGACGCGACAGGCCTCCAACACCAGCCAGGGCTTCGTCGGCGGATCGGCCGTCGCACGCAGGATCTCGGGCCGCAGCATGGCCAACAACCCGCCGGCGCCGGCCACCATCAGCGAGGACGTCCTCGAAGAGGCCAAGGGCGGCGACGGCGACGGCGACGGCGAGGCGTACAGCGCCGGCGAGCACTTTGACCTCGGCGAGTGGCTCATGTCGCGCCAGGCCCAGGCGAGGCGCGATGGCGTCGACGACGACAAGCCCGTCGGCCTCCTCTGGCGCGACCTCACCATCACGGCGCCCGGCTCGGGCGGCGGCGGCATCCTGGTCAAGACGCTGCCCATCGCCATCGCCAACACGGCGTGGCGCGACCCGCTGGGCATCCTCGCCAGCGTCGTGCCCGGGCTCGGCCGGCTGCTCGCGCCGCGCCACCAGGGCACCACGCAGCTCATGAAGGCGCACAGCGGCGTGCTCAAGCCGGGCGAGATGCTCCTCGTCCTGGGCCGGCCGGGCTCGGGCTGCTCGACGGCGCTGCGCGCCATCACGTCGTCGAACCACGCCAACGTCGCGTCCGAGGGCACGCTCCTCTACGGCGGCTTCACGCCCGACGAGATCAACCGCAAGTACCGCGGCGAGGTCGTCTTTTCCGACGAGGAGGATTCGCACTTTCCCACGCTCACCGTCGAGCAGACGCTGGCTTTCGCGCTCAAGAACAAGGTGCCCCACCGCGCGCGCCGGATCCGCGGCGAGAGCGGCAAGGACTACATCGAGATGTGCATCGACGTCATGCTCAAGATGTTTGGAATGAGCCACGTGCGCCACACCATCGTCGGCGACGCCGCCGTCCGCGGCGTCTCGGGCGGCGAGCGCAAGCGCGTGACCATCTCCGAGGCCCTCGTGACGCGCGCCAGCGTCGTGGCGTGGGACAATTCGACGCGCGGCCTCGACGCCTCGACGGCGCTCGACTATGCGCGCTCGCTGCGCGTCATCACCGACGTCGCCCAGCGCTCGACGCTGGCCACGCTGTACCAGGTCTCGGAGAGCATCTACGACCTTTTTGACCGCGTCAGCGTCATCGACGAGGGGCGCTGCATCTACTACGGCCCACGCGACGCCGCCAGGCGCTACTTTTACGACCTCGGCTACGACTGCCCCGAGCGCCAGACGACGGCCGACTTTGTCACGGCCCTCACCGACCCCAACCAGGTCCAGTACCGCGACGGCTTCCGCGGCCGCGCGCCCAAGACGGCCGAGGAGCGGGAGCGCGCCTGGAAGCAGAGCGACCTCTACCGCCAGCTCGTCGCCGAGATGGACGAGTACCAGGGCACGCTCGCCAAGGCCGAGCAGGCCGACCGCCTCCGCCAGACGGTGCGCTCCGAAAAGCGCCGCGGCGTCCAAAAGGGCAGCTCCTACACCGTCAACTACTGGACCCAGGTCAAGAGCTGCATCTGGCGCCAGCTCCTCGTCAAGTGGGGCGCCCGCGAGGACCTCTACGTCAAGCTCTTCACCATCATCGGCGTCTCGCTCATGATCTCGTCGCTCTTCTACCGCCAGTCGTACGACAGCCAGGGCGTATTCACCCGCGGCGGCATCCTCCTCTTTTGCGCCCTCTTCAACGGCTGGCTGCAGCTGTCGGAGTCGTTTGAGGCCGTCGCGGGCAGGCCCATGCTCGCGCGCCACCGCCAGTTTGCCTTTTACCGCCCCTCGGCCGTCGTCGTCGCCCGCGCCCTCGTCGACATCCCGTTCCTCGTGGTCCAGTGCCTCCTCTCGTCGGTCATCATCTACTTTCTCGCCAACCTCCGCCGCGACGCCGGCGCCTTTTTCATCTTCTACGCCTTTACCTTCCTCTCGGCCTACAGCCTGACGGCGCTCTACCGCATGTGCGCCGCCTTTTCGCCCGGCTTCAACGAGGCCATCCGCTTCTCGGTCCTCAGCCTCAACCTCCTCATCATCTGGGTCGGATACGTGCTGCGCCGCCCGCAGATGAACTGGCTCATCTGGCTCAACTACGCCCAGCCCATCAGCTACGCCTTCGAGGGCTTCCTCGCAAACGAGCTCAACTACGACATCCAGTGCAACCCGTCGCAGATTGTGCCGTTTGGACAGGCGCGCGACCCGGCAGCCCAGACCTGCTCCCTCACCGGCGGCCGCCCCGGCTCCCTCGTCGTCCCCAGCGCCGACTACCTCTCGACGACGTTTGGCTACTCGCGCGCCAACATCGGCCGAAACGCCGCCGTCGTCATCGCATTCTCGATCCTCTACCTCGTCCCCACCATCATCGGCGCAGAGATCATGAACTTTGGCGGCGCAGGCGGAGGCGTCACCGTCTTTGCCCGCAACCGCCGCGCCAAGGCCAAGCTCCGCTCGGCCGCCCGGCCCGCGCGTCCCGACGACGTCGAGGAAAAGGCCGTGCCCGCCGGTCCTGGCGCCGACTCGACCTGCACCAGCGGCAGCGTCACTCGCGCCAACTCGCCCGAGAGCAAGCGGGTGGCCGCCGCCCCCGCGCCCGACGAGCAGGCCGCCGTGCTGGACCAGGCCGAGCTCGACGAGCGCGCCGTATTCACCTGGAAGGACCTCAGCCTGCAGCTGCCCAGCGGACGCAAGCTGCTCGACGGCATCGACGGCTACGTCAAGCCGGGCACCATCACCGCCCTCATGGGTGCGTCGGGTGCGGGCAAGACGACGCTCCTCACGGCCCTCTCGCAGCGCGGCGTCGCCGGCACGCTGACGGGCGACGTGCTGGTCGACGGCAAGCCGCTCGGCCCGGGCTTCCAGCGCGGCACGGGCTTTGTCCTCCAGGCCGACGTCCACCTCGCCTCGCAGACGGTCCGCGAGGCCATCGAATTCTCGGCCCTCCTCCGCCAGCCCGCCGAGGTGCCGCGCGAGCAAAAGCTCGCCGACGCGCAGCGCGCCATTGAGCTGCTCGAGCTCGACGACCTCCAGGACGCCCTGATCGGCGTGCCCGGCTTCGGCCTCGGCGTCGAGCGCCGCAAGCGCGTCACGATCGCCGTCGAGCTCGCCGCCAAGCCCGACCTGCTCATCTTCCTCGACGAGCCCACCTCGGGCCTCGACTCGGCCGGCGCCGCCTCCATCATCCGCCTCATCCGCCGCCTCGCAAACGAGGGCAGCGCCATCCTCTGCACCATCCACCAGCCCTCGTCGCTCCTCTTTGAGTCGTTTGACAACCTCCTCCTCCTCCAGCCCGGCGGCCGCACCGCCTACTTTGGCCAGATCGGCAGCGAACCGGGCGTCGGCTCCGCACGCGTGCGCGAGTACTTTGAGCGAAACGGCGCAGAACCCTGCCCGCCCTCGTCCAACGTCGCAGAGTACATGCTCGAGGTCGTCGCCAACAAGCAGACGCGCCCCTGGAGCGAGCGCTGGAACGCCTCGCCCGAACGCCGCCGCCTCCGCCAGGAAGTCGACCAGATCAACGCCACCCGCGCCGCCAGGCCCGCCGTCCACGACAGCCGCGCTGACCGCGAGTTCTCGGCCTCGCTCAAAACCCAGATCGCAGAGACCGTCAAGCGCCAGTTCAGGGACCTCTGGCGCGACGCTCCCTTCGCCTACGGCGTCCTCTTCTCCAACATCGTCACCGGCTTCGCCGCAGGAGGCGGATTCGCACACGTCGGCACCTCGGTCACGGACATGCAGTACCGAGTGTTCTTGACGCTACTTTACATGTTGAACGCCCCCGCCGCCATCAACAGCGTCATCTCCAAGTTTTGGGAAATAAGGATCACCTACCAAGTCCGCGAAGGGCCGAGCAAGACCTACTCGTGGATCGCGTTTATGACGGCTTTCATCGCTGTCTCGATCCCGATCGCCTTCGTGGCGTCGGTCCTCTTCTTCCTGCCGGCGTTCTACATCCCGTTCTACACGCGCTCGTCCGAAGTAGCGGGCTACTTCTGGCTCATGCTTTGGGCCCTGGCCACTTACATCGGCTTCTTCGCTCTGGCTCTCGCGGCGGCCTGTCCAACACCGGTAACAGCAGCGAATTGCCTTCCCCTAATCCTGCCTATACTCTTCATCGTCAACGGCGTCATCGTCCCGAAAGCGGCGCTACCTCAACCGTGGCGCTCGATTATATGGACCAACCCTCTCTACTATTATATCAAGGGCCAGGTGGGCACGTCTCTCCACAACATCCCGATCCAGTGCCGCCGGGCGGACCTGGCCATCTTCAATCCTCCCGCAGGTCAAACCTGCGGCGTCTACGCAGGCTCGTGGGTCGAGAGCGTGGGCGCTCAACTCCTCAACCCGGAGGCGTCGTCAGCTTGCGAGTTTTGCCAGTACTCGGTGTCGGATCAGTTCGCGGCAAGCCTCGGCGCAGACTGGAACTTCCGCTGGCAGAGCTACGGCATCCTGCTGGCGTTCGTGCTGTTCCAACTTGCCGCCAGCTACGCGGCGTGGTGGTACTTCACCGAAAAGGGATACGGACTCGGCGGCGGACTCGTGTCGCGCGCCGTCGGTAAGATCAGGGGTCTTGCGTCGCGGCGGACCAAGGAGGACCCCGTCGAGCAGGACGAGAAGTAGCGGCATCAGCAGCGAATCGAATGTCTTTGTAGTCCCCCACACATATAGAATAAGAATCTGTCGAGAATCAGAGACTTGCGAGGCCCGAATGGTGCAGCCGCCGGCGCCGCAGCGAGAAACACGACCATCGCGACCGCTCAGCGAGTCGGCTCGGGGAGCTGTCGAGTAGCTTGACGGCTCTGCCCGCAGCCGGCGCCTGGAGGAGCCCGGCCGGGTGCAGGAGAATAAGCTTTTGTGCCGAAGCTTGATCCTCGTGCGAGCTGGTTGCATCAGTCTTGTACACCTGGGCTGCCCAGGCTCAACACCACCAGCCGCTGCAACATCACCAACCGCTGCAACAGTCACGCTGCTGCAACATTGCCGCTGCATGGCTCGATGCTCCCAGACTGAGCCTGCATCTGCACACCTCTTGACTATCTCTCATCAGCCCTCTGCCTATCTTGCTGAACCCTCTGCCTCTCCTCACCAGCCTGCTGCAATGCTATTGCTTGGCCCATCATGCTCCTTGCCCACATGTGTCCCTACCATGCTGGAACTCCCAGGCTTCAAAGTCACCCAACTGGAGCAGATCATGGACTGCCGTGCCTGTGCTTGCCCTCAATGATCACGATCGCGTTGGATCCAGAAACCAAGAGCGAGCTGAAAATGGCAGCGGTAGCCTTGCTGACAACAACCAGTCGCCTGCGCTCAAGCTCTGGAGTTGGACTCTGTAGCTTGCCAAACACAGTCAGCATCTGGTGGGAGCGGATGGTATGCGAGGTGCCTTTGGATTTGGTGATGTAGTGGATGTGAGGGACAGAGGGATGGGCAGACTGTGGTAGTGGTGTCAGAGAGGGGACAAGGAGGTGGGTTGGACCCTGAAGGCTCTCTGTCTTGCCGGCCGGTGTCGAGTTGAGAAGCGTGTCAGGCTGGAACAGAGCCCACAGGAGCCTCTCGGCAACCTACATGCTGGCCCAGGCCTCCAGGTGGTTGGTGAGGCAGAACAGCCTCGTGCTTGGCAGCAGGCCAAGGGCATCAAGCTCCGAAATGAAATGTTGGTGGAGGTCAAGGGGCCAGCCCTGGCTTTTTTGAAGCGCTCAAGGTTAACGTCCTGTTCTTGGCGAGCCATCGGCCTGGTGGAAGTGGAGCCGATGTAGAGTTGGTATGTGGGCGTATCTTGTCCAGAGCTGGCAATGATTGAGTTGTAGGCAAGAAGGTGGTGCTGACTTGCTTGCCGCTTGTGCAGATATTGATGCTGCCATGAAAGCATGATGTTGTGGCCTTGCTGGGCCGTCAGCTCAAAGGCTTGGACATAGGTCGTCCATGTCGTGCTGATCGGGGCCCTGTCTGACACCTCCCAAGCAATGTCGAGTTTTTGCTGGAAGAGGGGAGAGGCTGTAACGATACCTCCTCCTTCATGAAGGTCGACAAGAGCAGCCACTGCGCTAGGGCTCATGTTCCGGGCAACACCGTGCTGGGCGAGAAAGTCGGGGAAACTCTGCCTTGCATCTCGCCCGGCCCCTCCCGACTGGTCCACTGTGCGCTGGATGGTAGCTGTGGCTGATTGCCACCTCATAGCTAGCAGCAGGTGCGTCTGGGTTCATCTGGGGCGTAAGGGTGCTACGCATTCCCCCAGAGTCTTCAGCTACGGTCCTAGAAGCAGCCAGGGTAGGGCCCCTACACATCAGAAGCGTAGGGTTTCCTGCAGTCCCCAGAAGTGTAGGGGCCCTACACTTCAGGAGCCTCAGCAGCGTAGGTGTCCTACGGTTCCAGAAGCGTAGGGGCCCTATGCTTCTGGAACCGTAGGACCCCTACAGCCCTCAGACCAACTGGTGTTCTATGCTTCAGGATTGTAGCAAATCTACACTTCTGGATGCCCTGAAGCGTAGACATGCTGCACTTCAAAAGTTCTCAGGAGTACCTATGCTTCTGATGCGTAGCAGCTTTACAGTGGCCGCTTCTCAAGTCGTAGCTGAAGACTCTGGGGGGAAGCGTAGCACTCATACGCCCCAAAAAATCTCAGATGCACCTGCTGCTAGCTATGCCTGGACAGGATGGGGTTGGCCACGGCTGGAATGGACAGAGGTAGGCTGAGGGAGGGGGAAGCTCGGGGATGGTGGCGGCAGTGGAGCCTGCCACGCTCCCCAAGGGGGTATGGCCGCCACACTGGCCACGCCGCTCCTCTACGGGGGAAAAAATCGGGCGAGCAGCGGGTCCTTGACCGCTTGTACGGCCCAGGCAGCCCACAGACAAGCGCAGTTCGAAGCCAGTCATGGTCTCCTTGTATCTCTACTTGATGTGAGAGCCTCCTTTGGTGGTGTTAGTCGTGTGAGGATTTTCGCGTCACCTCGCATCTCCTGTGGCAGTCATTCTACCGGGGAGTCGAGCGACGACACACATGGTCGGTGTCCAGCTTCACCTGGCCCCGAGCTTCCTTGTCTTCCTCACGGTTCAGCCTGTGCACGATGGGTCGCTGATCCTGTTACTCTCGTCACACCCGCTTCGCTACCACAGAGTCTGTCGTCAGGCCTCGGTCACGGTCACGAAGTCGTCGACACAGGTCGTTGTCGGTTGCTGCTGTCCAGGATCCAATGCCCCAGCGGTTCTCTTGCTCACGATGTCGACCTGCTGGCATTGATCCGTCGCTACAGACGCAGGCCCGTCCCCTCTCGATAGAGGACGCTGCGGTCGCAGGAATCTCCGTTTTCACCTTGCTCCGTTGCGCGCGGTGCGGTTGAGCAGGTACGACAGCGGCAGCGGCAACATCCTGAGAGCAAGCCGCCATCAGCGCCGAGGAGCCTTTTCTGCTCGCGTCGGCCTTGCCGCACCCTGCTCGTTGCCTCGCCGCCGTCATATCGCCGAGATGGCAGCAATGCCACTCGCCGTCGTGCGCCGATGAGCAGAGAATGCGGATGGATCGAGCTGCCGCCATGTCGATGGCTCCCGCTGACGCCGGCATGCCCCTCGTCTCCCTCTTCTTCACCTCTGCTAGTGGAATCGCTCTCTCAGGCCTACGGATGGTACACACGACGCCGCCGCTGCTGTCACCCGGCTCCACGCCGATCTCGACCAGACGCCACCGGCTGCCCTTTCACTGCTCGGTGGTCCGCGTCAGCGCTCAGATGGCCCTCTGGCATTGGCGACACGATGTCAAAGATGCCTCTATGGACATTACGGGCGGCCTCGGGTGGCTGCCTAGGCTGCCGTCTCCGTTTCGCGCCGTAGTAGACGCTGTGACTGCCGAGCGGCCAGCCTCGGGCGTGGAGCGTGGACGGAACCCTTTGCGGCTGGGCGACGTGGACGCCGCCATCTGCCACTGCTCAGGCTGTGACTCTCGCATCTCTCCGGCTCTCCTGTCGTTTCGCCCCTTCTGCTGGATGGAGGGAGAGAGCATGGCTCGATGGAGGAACGGCCGAGGGCGTGTTGGGATCGTGGTGGCGTGAGGTTGAAGGGCCCAAGCGCGGTGGACGGTTGCTGGTGGGGTCGCCCCGGTGAAAATCCCGGGTTGCGGAATTGCTTCTGCGAGCAAGTTGGGCGGCCAGCGAGCCAGAGACAGGCAGGCAACCAGCGTCCACCACAACGGCGCACGTCCCCCATCGACCTCTCGACCTTGCTTGCTTGGCACCCGACCACCCACAACCACAAGCAGCGGCACCCGCATGGCCCAGATCATGGTCGCCTGATCATACCGCAGCCCGCATCTCGCCACATCATCCTCGCACATTCCCTTCGCGCGGGCCCGCCAGCCGACACCGAACCCAGACCACTCACAGCGACGTCACGTCCAAGCACAGCACCCTCGCCGGCCGCGCTCCATCGTCATGGATGCCACGTCGTCTTGGAGTCCAAGAGAAAGCGGCGGTAGCTACGCGGCATCCGATCCGACCGATGTGGCAGCCTTCCTGAGCTCAATCAACGCATCGTGCAGCCTCGGCCATGGCTCGCAACAGGACGGCGCAGCCGCCGCCTCGACGCCCGACCTTCCCATCTCGGCCACCGTATCCCTGATCGAGGCACAGATCGACCAGCTCGAAAACGCCATCACCTCCACCATCGACCAGAACCGAGACACCTTCACATCCCACCTCGACGCCGGCGCAAAGATCGAGGCGGACCTCGACCACCTCTACCTCGCCACCCTCGAGGCCTCGGACCAGATTGCCGGACTCGCCCCCGCCGTGTCGCCGGCGCTCCACGACTACAACGCCGCGCTGGCACAGTCGACCTACCAGCAGTGGACCATCGATGCCATCGATGCCCTTCTCGAAGCGACGATCCAGCTGGAGCACGCCGAAAGCCTGCTGTCGAGCGGGCAGGTCGCGGCGCTCTGCAAGCAGCTCGTACCCCTGCGTCAGTCCATCGCCGCTTTCGAGAACCACACGGGCTCCACAGAGCAGCCGGGAAAGGCCCTCGATCTCGGCTTCCTCTCACATGCGGCCAAGGCACCGAATCCCGCCGTGCAGGAACTCTGCCGGAGGGTGGTCCAGGTCGAGAGCGGGCTCAAGGAGGTCGTAGACCTGGCCTGGGCCGGCGCCATCACCCTGGACAGGGCGAAAAGCCCGACCGCTGGCGCGAAACTCGTCATCCGCGGTACCATCGACCTGGCAGGCCCAGCTGAGGGCAACGCCATCTCGCTGCCAGACTTGATGGGGGTCCTCGCCGAGCGCCAAGCATTGGCTGCCGGGATTCGAGCGGTAGCTGTGGGCGTCTTTGAGCACCTCGCGCGTCCGCTTCTGAACCACATGCGCTCGCCAAGCCCGAGGGTCCGGCATCAGGCTTCAGCCGCCACCGAACCGGCTAGCTTCTCGGTCCGCCCCGTCGAGGAAGACGCCAGGCCGTCGGAGCCGATACCGGCCATCATCAGCCTTCTCTCGTTCGTCAAGGCTCACCTCTTCGACGGCCTCGAAGATGCGCGAAGCAGGGATGTGCAAGGGGTGTTTGCGGGAGAGCTGGTCCCTCGGCTGATCCCAGCTGTGCTCTCGACGCTCGATGGGGCCTTGCCGAGCAGCGTTGGATCCGTCGACGGATCTCTGCAAACGATCCACGAGCAAGCTGCAGAGGCTACGAGCCTCGAACGGTGGCTGAGGGGCAACGGCTTCGCCGCACCGTCCAGGGCGCCGAGCGAGGACGAAGACGCCAACGACAATGCCTACGCTCTCGCGCGGTGGGCTGACGATGTCGGCGCACACTTTTCGCGCCGCTTGGCCGGGGGCGCGCTGGACCGAGCGAGGCGGCTGATTCTGGCCGAGGGGCAGGGCAGTGCAGCGGGAAGTCTGTACGGCAGCGGCTGGGAGGCCGAGGTGATCGAGGTCGATTCCAAGATGGCCCAGCTCGAGTCGGCGCTCTCGTCGCAGCAGCAAGCTCTGAAGGACGACGCAAGGGAGGTCGATGGACTGCTGCAGAGCGCGGGGATGCGCGCTGCCAATGCCGAGGAGAACCAAGACGATGCATCAGGGTGGGGAGACTTCGAAGAGCCATGGACGAACGGCGATGCCGGAAGCGCCGCAAAGCACAGTGTCACCAACGTCCGCATGGCACGGCGGTCACCGCGCCCGTCCTCGTCAGGCAGCTCAGCTCGGCCGGGGTCCAGCTCCGGTCATCATTCCGGCAGCTCGACACCGCGGACCGACTCGCCTTCGGGCGTGGGGGGCCGTAAGGCCAAGGCCAAGCTCGGCGGAGTGAGGGTGATCCGGCCGCAGGACCAGCTCGGAAGCGGGCCCTTCAACACGGCCGACGTGCCGATCGACGATGCCAGCTGGGGTCTCGACGACGAGGACGAAGCCGACGGCGGCGTTGCAGCGGAGCCGACGGTGGCAGAGTCTTTGGCATCCTCGACGTCGTCCCTCCCTCCACCTGTGGTAACAAAGGCCTCACTGGCCAGATTTTCGCCGCAACCCGAGCCCGATGCGACAGAAGACGATCCCTGGTTCACCTCGGAGCAGGACGACGAGGTCGACAACGCCGCTGTCGCTCCGGTTAAAGCTCACGCCGCCGCTTCAGCGCACGGCGAGGCGCCGAAGTCGGTCCAGTCGAGCTCCATGCAACCCTCGCTCAGCCATTCATCCACCTCGTCCTCCTCCTCGGCCAACCTCGCAGCTTTCGCAGTGCAGTCGGTTCCGGATGCAGCTGAAGGCGAAGACGATGCATGGGCGCTCAGTGACGAGGACGAGGTCGAGGCCCCGCCTTTGACACCAACAGCCAACATCATCAAGGACGGCGGGGAGCGTGAATTCCCGAATGCAACGCAGACGGCTTCGCGGGCGACCGATGCCATGCCCTCGCAGGGTGATTCTCAAGAAGGAGAAGAGGGCGATGATGACCCCTGGGGGCTCTCGGAGGAGCAGGCTGCAGAGCAAGCCGCGCTGGCCGAGCAGCGCACTGCGCGGAGCAACGACAAGCTGGACCAAGCACGCGACGATGCCGACGACGCTTGGCAGCTCGATGACGAGGACGCGATGGAGGCTATCGAACAGGCTGCGGCGCCCCAGTCGCAGCTCGAGGTTCGGCCCGAGTCGAAGGCAGAGCCCGAGCCCGAGCCCGAGCCCCGCAACGATCACGAAGAGATCTCTGCCCTCAATGCCGACCCAACGACAGTCACGCAGTCTGCTTCGCCTCCGCCGCCGCTGGCCGAGTCCACCAGCATGTCGCGCTCAGGATCTTCATTCCTGCCCGCTGATACTCTCGAAGACGACGAAGAGGATGCATGGGGTCTCAAGGAGGAGGAGGCAAAGCGGCTCTCGATGCTCCTCATGGCCCCACCTCAGCTACCCAAGCCGGAAGACGACGACGGCGATGCGATCGCCGAACCGCACCAGAGCAAGGCCGGCTCAGCAACCCCGACGCCGTCGCACGGGCTGCACGATGTGGCCGAGGCCAACGCCGAGGACGAGGTCGAGGACGTAAATGGTGCCGAAGCGGAAGATCGAGCTGAACAAGTGGCAGCGGCTCCGAGTGAAGCGGAACTTGAGTTCGCAACGGAGCCAGAGCAGTCCGACCTGGCATTGGAGCCCGTCGAGGCGGATGAGCGGGCTCGCACGCCTGAGCTTCCCTCCGAGCCACCGACCCACGACCGGACACAACCCGCCGCGACCAACGACTCGAACGTCCAGTCCGGGCCAACAGAGCCTGTGCCATTGGCGCCCGCAGATGACGTCTCGGGCAGCAGCGAGGCACGGCACGAGGATGCAGCTGCCGCTGCCGCTGTCGACGAAGGTGACGATCCGTGGGCAATTGAAGACGAGGACGACGATGCGCCTTCATCCGTGCTCCATCCCCAAACCGCCGACTCGGCGCCCCTCGAAGCAAGCGCGGTTCCGATCGAAAGCAACGCCGATCAGCAAGGAGCAGATGCAGCAGTAGCGTCCCATTCTCCATCGCACTTGGAAGAATCGCGCGACGAGCCTGCCGAAGCTACGGTGCAGGACGACGTCGACGAAGAAGACGACGAGGATGCGTGGGCGTTCGAAGACGAGGAGGTCCCTGGCGCCGCGGCCGCATCGCCGCAGACCGCGCTGGCCAAGGCGGCAACGCTCACCTCAAAGAATGCGTCGACTCGACCGCGGCCATCGGCTGGCCAGCCTGCGTACGGGAGCGCAGCGGCGCACAACTCTGCTCAGCGCAGCGTGGACCGCGCCTCTCCCGCCCTGGTCGTCCCAAGCGCGGAGAAGCCAGTCGAGGCAGTCGAGGCTACGTCCGCTCCAATCCAGCCACCCGCTCCGATGCCCGAGCCGGCGCCGGGGGCGGTCAAGGAAAAGTGCACAATCAGCAAACGATCGATTGAGCTGATCCGACTGGCAGAGCAGGTGCTTGCGGACGGATTGCGGCTGCACCGCCAGCAGTCGTCGGCGGACCGCGCGCCTGCCCCGCCTCCGGCTGCCCCGGTGCTGGCAGCAGTGTGCGACATCTTTGATCTGCACCGCTCCCTGATGCCCGTCGCGCACGGCGAGGCGCTCCGCGACGTTCCTGCCTTGGCCATGCAGTTTGCCAACGACTGCGACTTTATCGCGCGCCAAGTCGAGCGCATCGTCGCCGAGTCGAAGAAGGCGTTTGCCGAGGTGCCTGCCGAGGACGGAAGGGAGCTGGATGTCTTTGAGAAGCTCGATGGGCAGGCTCGCCTGACCCGGGCGCTAGGGCAGCGGTGGTTCGACGCTCAGATGGTGAGTATGCTGTGGTTGGCCGTGGCAATTCTCGCTTTGCCTTGACTTCACCGAACTCTCACGCTCGTCCTCTTCCCTCCTCGCGCCATTTGCACCGGCAGGCCACGCAAACCAAGACGCTGCAGCACACGCTATCTGACACACCCTTTTCGCACCTGTTTGAGCCGCGGCGGTACGAGAGGTGCGAGCGGGGCGTCAAGCAGGTGCTGCACACGCTCGTCCAGCTGTCCAAGGCGTGGCGGCCCATCCTGCCGCTCTCGTCGTACCTGGCGGCCATGGGCCAGCTGGTCGAGGCTGTGCTGCGCCACGTCCTCGCCGAGGTGCTCGAGCTCGAGGACATTGGCGAGACCGAGAGCCAGAGGCTGGCCGACGCCATCAAGATGCTGGGCCAGATTGAGGAGTGTTTTGTCGAACGCCAGGGCGAGACGGTGAGTTTGTCGCTGCCGCCTCGTCGGCCTTGACCTTGGCGCCCTCTCTGACTGCCGGATCATCACCTTCCTTTTGTGATCGAACGACAGACGACCAAGGTGGCCTTTTACGTCCCGAGCTGGTTCAAAGCGAGCTACCTGATCGAGATCCTGACTGGTGAGCATTCCGTGACGTCTATTTCAGTCTCATCCAGTCTCTCGGCCGGACAGCTGACCACCTCGTCACCTCTTTCTGCACCGCCGGACCGACCAGGCTCGCTCGTCGACATCGACTTCCTGGCATTCGAGGCCCACGCCCTCGTCGACTATAACCGCAAGGAACTGAGCGGTCTCATCAAAGCCCTCTTCACCGATACCGCCAACCGGGCCAGGCTGCTCGACAAGATCGACCGCGCCGACGTGTCGTGCCTGCTTCCTTGATCGATCAGTCGTTCGTTCGGTCGGTTCATCGGTCGGTCGGTCGATTGCTAGCGTCCATCCCTGCCTCGCGAAGGAAGTCAATGTGGACCCATCCCCTCTCTCGTCGAGATGGAACCTGATATCGATGCTTTACCTCCCGGGCCGAATGTTCGACTGCGCCTGATAGTGCTCGTCGATCGAGAGAAGATCGAGTCTACATACCGATTCGACCAGACCATCGACGTCGCCATCTCAGACAGTGCTCTACGCCCCAACTTCCAGGCAAGTACCGCGCAGCACATCCGATACAACTCCTCATATCCTCTTACTCTACGTACGTAAGAATGGACAGCCGACCTCGGCCCCCTCGACACCCTATCCGCGGATGGCGTGCCAGACGGTTTCGGCGAAGCCGAGCGCCTCTTCCTCGCGGTACCTGCCTGCGACGACCTGGAGACCGATGGGAGCGCCGTCGACGAGGTCCGGGTCGTACTTGTCGTTCCAGCGCCTGTCGTCGTCGCTGTACCACCCGTCGTGGGGCGGCGAGGAGCGCTTGGGATCCAGCTTGGCATCGACGCTCGATACGGGCAGCGAGATGGCGGTGTAGTCGAGCAGGTTCCACTGCGGGAGAGGAGAGAAGAGGAGCAGCACGGGTTAGCAGCCAGAGGCGCCACTGTCGCGCTACGTCGCCGCGTCCGGCCAGGCGACTCACCAAGCCCGTGTAGAGGATCCAGCACTCGTCGTCGTGCTTCATGGCCGGGTAGACGGACGTGGGGCAGAGTACAAAGTCGACGCCGGCGTCGCGCCAGTGGTCGAGGGCGCGCTTGCGGTAGACGGTCTTGCGCTTGTTGATCTGCCACAGCTCGTAGGCCGACTTTTCGGGCTTGCCGACGCCCGTCACCTGCGGGCCCAGCGGTTCGTCGCAGCCGGAGATGGCCTCGAGGACGTCGCGCCCGCCGTCGGCGCAGAAGGCGTCGCCCATGATGGCGAGGCCCTGGCCCGGCTCGTAGGGCACAAAGGGAACCACGTCGTGGCCCGCCTTGGTCAGGGCGTCGCGCGCCACCTGGAGCGCCCGCTCGTACGGCGGGAACGGGTGGACGTGCAGGTCGGTCGACATCAGGCCCTGTCGAAGGTGACGGGGTACGCATCGGTCAGCCGCCGTGAAGCACAACCGCGTCGCGCCGCGCCGCGCCGCGCCGATGCTCACAATCTTCAGACCCTTCTTGGCCTTGGCGGCGTCGTACCGGCTCTGGCTCCACGGCATCTCGGGCACCAGCGGGTCGTACAGCCAGGGACGGCCGGCGAGGATGGCCTTGGTAAAGGTCGTCAGGCCGGAGAGGGTGCGGGTAAGCGGGCCTAGCACCGAGGGGATCGTCTCCTGGCCTGTCGTAGTCGGGGCGGTCGACGAGGATCAAGGTACGCCCACCAGGTCAGCCACGACGACCTCCGATCAACGCCACTCCGGCGCCACGGTGACGCACCTTCCATGCTGTTGACGGCGCCCTCGTAGGGGAAGCGGTGCGACGAGGGCCTCAGCCCGAACAGGCCGCACATGCCGGCGGGGATCCGGACGCTGCCGCGGCGCAACCGGGCGAAGTGCGGGCCATCGTCAGCGCAAGACATATTTATCTCTCTCTGGGCGCAGGAGCGGCAGCACGGCCTTACCTTCCGCCGACGTCGGTGCCCACGCCGAGCGGGCTGCCCTTGATGGCGACGAGCGCGCCTTCGCCGCCGCTGCTTCCGCCGGTGTGGAGCTGCAGCGCACAGGAGAGAAGATGCAAATGAGGCGATGTGCCCTCGGTCAGTCACAGCACGCTCGCGATTGGCCCTGCTGCGTGTCCGAGCCCCTGCTCACCAAGCGGTTGTGGGGGTTCAACGTGGTTCCTATCGAGGCGACAGAAGGGGCAGGCTCGTCAGCGTCGAGGACGGGAACCCCGTTTTAGCACGCCCCAAGGCGCTAGAGGACTCACCAAAGAGCTCGTTGCGAGTCTCTGCAAACTGCAGGAGGTCGGCGAGGGGCGGGGTGGGCGGTTCGCGTCAGCAATCGGTCGAGGGTCCACGCTGCGATCCGACGACCTGCCGCGCCTCACCATGATGGTCTGGGGCAGGTTCGTCTTGACAAAGGGCACGGCGCCGGCCTCCTTTAGCAGAGCGGCTGAAGGTGGCGAGCCGGAGGTACGATGGGCAGGCCGTTAGCACTTTGTCGTCGACGACGACGCCGCGGGCTCATCATCGCCGCTCTGACCACTCACTGCAGACGGCGTCGTGGTCGGCCTGTCTACCAACGTACGACACGTAGGCGATGGTGGCGTCGGACCCCTTGATGCGAAACTGGTCCTTGAGGCTGACGGGCAGGCCGTGCAGCGGCCCGCGGGTCTTTCCGGTGGCCTGGAGCTCGTCGTCGAGCTCCCTAGCCCAGCGGCGGGCATCGTCAAAGTGGATCTCGGTGATGGGGTTGACGAGGCGGTGGGCGATGCAAGCGCGTTTGATGTAGGCCTCGAGCACCTCGGCCGCCGTGTACTCGCGCTTGGCCAGCTTGGCGAGGAGGACGTCGACGTCGTCGATTTCGGTGATGGCCACCTCGGCGGGCGTCAGCAGGCCGCAGGTGGCGGGGAACGAGACGACGCTCTTGCCGTCGACGGGGGGCAGCTTCGAGGCCGGGATGTCGTACTCGGCGGGGATGAGGGCGTCGCGCTCGGCACGCTTGCGCGCCACGACGGCCTTCCAGTCGGGCTTCTGAGCGGTGGTCATATCTTTGCTGCGGTCGTGGCTCGAGGAGTGGGGTGCGGTCAAGCTACGGTCGATGGCGAGGACGGAAGCGGGCCGAAGAGGGGCGGGCCGAGCCGATGGTGTTATATGGGCCTACGGTAACCCCGCACTGGCACGGCTAGGGACGGTCCGAAGCCGACGACGAGCAAGCAACCTAGCCTGCCTGCTGGATCGGTACGGTAGGTGGCCAGCAGGGTAGGCTGTCCGTGCACGCTCGCTTGCAAAACCCACGACCGCATCTTCCGGCCTCCACCCGGCACGGACACACGCGGGGGGCGAGCTCGCCTCGACCCCACGCCTCGCTTCCTCGTCCCGACCACCACCTAGCCTAGCCCAGCCTTTGGCCTCGCCTGCTTTGCGTTCCCACCCAACCTCCATCGCGCGGCCTGCCCTCGATCGCCAAAAGTCAAGCCCCAAACAAGACGCCGCGGTAGAGCCCGGCCTACCCGTCCCGCCACAACCTCGACCGCCCCGCCAGCGCACGTACCATACCGACCCGACCGCCGAATGGTGTGCAAAAAGTGCGAAAAGACGCTCTCCAAGAGCTCAGCGCCCGATCCTTTCGTGAGTGCCAGCATTGCAGCATCGACTGTATCGCGGTCGCTCACTGCGGAGGCTCACTGGAGCCCCACTGCGGCAGCTCATTGACAACCCAACCATCCCATACCTCTCTTCCTTGGCCCTGTCTCCCCCGCCCAACGCCGACAGCGTAATCGCAACGCCGCCGGCTTCCTCGTCGCGTCGGGGTCGGGTGCCGCGAAAGCTCCGGCCGCGGGGCCAACGCTCGCCGCCTCGTCGTCGGGAGGACGCCAGATTGGGCAAAACAAGCTCCTCTCCAAGGCGAACCGCTTCAGCCCGACGGCGAGCAAGTGCAAACTCTGCAAAGGCTCCGTCACCCTCGACAGGGCTACCTACTGCCAAGGTAAGAGCGGCGATGCACATCGTGCCAGAGCGATATGCAATTCTGGCCAGCTTTCTCACTGCCATCTGCTCCATCTTTCTTCTCATCGTCCAGGCTGCGCGTACAAGAAGGGCCTCTGCGCCATCTGTGGCAAGCAGATCCTCGATACCACTCGCTTCAAGCAGTCGTCAGCTTGAAAGGCGGCGCAGCAGAGCGACATTCATCCTCGACGCCCGGCGGATCAGGGAACCCGCGTACCCGTCAGTGCCGATCCGCTGCCGAGGCGGCTGGAAGAAGCGTTCAGACGGTCGAATGCTCGCTCCTTGTCGTCGTGCCAGACCGCGGCACCTTGTCCATGCGTTCCCCGTCCCGTCCGCCCTTAAGGCCATCGAGTCCAGCGAGCCTCCCACTCTGTACCATACTCCCTGTACCATCACCATCATCGACCGCTCCCACGTGTAACCCAGTCATATCCGGCAGCCCATCCCTACTCGCTTCGCGGTCGACGGCGAGCGCGGCCAGGCAGTGCTGCGAGAAGGTTGCGCCGAGGAGGGTTCAGCTGCCACGGCCCGATTATTATTGGACTGAGCCCCGATCTGTGGTGCGGGTGACGTATTCGGGTCCGTAGCGAGGCGCTGGCCAAAGCGTCGCGAAGGATCGGCAGATCGATAAACGGGGCATCTCTTCTTGGCTCGGGCTCGGGCTCGGGCCAGGACGGCGAGGGGCCTGGCAGCCAAGGGCCCAGCGGCATGAAAGCGCCGACGGGAAAAGATGAAGCGGGCACGGATGCTTCCGCTCGCTCGCTCGCTCGCCCGCTCCCTCGTCATCCGTCTTTATCCACATCTGCACCGCCACCGCCCTTGTCTGCCGCCACCATCACCTCCCATCTCCGCACACTTTGCACTCGCTCGCACCGTCACCACCACCTCCTCCCCCATAGACACCTCTCTACAATGGTCGGAACGCTCGTCCTCACCCGCCACGGCCAGTCCGAGTGGAACAAGCTCAACCTCTTCACTGGCTGGAAGGACCCGCAGCTCACCGAGCTCGGACGCGAGGAGGCCCTGGCCGGCGCCAAGAAGATCAAGGACTCGGGCATCAAGTTCGACATTGCCTTCACCTCGGCGCTCACCCGTGCCCAGACCACGCTCGGCATCCAGCTCAAGGAGATCGGCCAGGAGGGCATCGAGATCAAGAAGGACCAGGCCCTCAACGAGCGCGACTATGGCGAGCTCTCGGGCCTCAACAAGGACGACGCCCGCAAGAAGTGGGGCGAGGAGCAGGTGAGTGGCTCGTGGCGTGTGGCGCACGGTCGGGTCTGGCCGCCATGCGGCGGATGCGTGACCCGTACCTGTACGTCGCAGTCGGCTGACGCCTGGGCTCTCGAACTTTACGTTGCCATCTTCCTGCCGCCCTCCCGAATCTACAGGTCCACATCTGGCGCCGATCCTACGACATCCCCCCTCCCGGCGGCGAGTCGCTCAAGCTGACCGCCGAGCGCGTGTGGCCCTACTACCACAAGGAGATCCTGCCTCTGGTCAAGGAGGGCAAGAACGTCATCGTTGCCGCCCACGGCAACTCGCTCCGCGCCATGATCAAGGACATTGAGAAGATCTCGGACGACGACATTGGTACGTCGGCCGGGCGTCCACCCAGTCCGCGGATCGACGGCGATCTTGTGCTGACCGGCTTCTCTCCCTTTACCTTGCACCTCCCCCGCACGACCCACAGTCGGCCTCGAGCTAGCCACTGGCGTCCCGATCATCTACAAGCTCGACCAGGACGGCAAGGTCGTCTCCAAGGAGATCCTGCAGTAGACAGCTGCCGCGCGCTCCTTGCTCTGCTCCCCCCTCAGGCGCTGACACTCTTCGTCGGCGTTTCGGGAAGGTAGAGCCGCCGAATAAGAAGACCTGAAAGACGCCCGCGCAGCCTCGAGTCCGAGTGCACGTTGAGTGTGCTGCTTTGCTCCGGGAGCTGAGCAGCTGATAGCGCGAAGAGAGGAACCAGAGGACGACGGTCCGATGCCCGACCGAGTGCAGCGGGCGCTCAAAGAAGCCCTGCAGAGTGTCGCGTGAGAGCCTTGCCACAGGCTCAGCAGGTGGCCTAGTCAGCATGGCATCGCCATGCCAGGCTCGAGGTGATGGCCATGCGCCGTCCTAGAAGAACGGCGGCCGTCGACGTGGCGAGCGCAAGGGATGCGGAGGGCGGTGTCGAGCGAGCGACCCAGCCGCAGCATAGCCAGCTGCGGCCGGGCAGGCAGCGGGTCGGGGCTGTGAGCTCTCCCTCAAAAAAGTGGAGGAAGCCAGGCAGGCGATCCATCCGATCGAGAGGCAGCATGCATGTCTCTGGGTGCTTCCGCCCGCTCGCTCGGCCTGGTCCCCAAGAGGGGAGAGCGCGCGGGGACCACCGCCGGCTCCATGGCCACCACCGCTTCGTCTGTCGCAGCTACGCCTGCCTGCGAGCCATCCCCAGCGCAGCGGAATCTTCTGCTCGCTTGCCGGTCGAGAGCCAGCTTTGCCCGCCCAGCCCTTTGCGTTGACATCGGACGAGCCGCCCGTGCCTCTGGCCCTCGCGTGATTTTTGTCGGCACAGACGAGACCCTACCTAGCCCAAGCCTCCACCTGGAATGCGCGCTCAGGCCCTCTTCACTCACCTTGCTTGCTTGCCTCCCGCCGCCGAGCGAGCGAGCGGGCGAGCGGGCGAGCCAGCCTCTCCAAAGCAAGGCGCATCCCCACAACAACCAAGCAAGCCAGCCACCGCCGAGCGGGCAGACCGGGCCTGGCCCAGTCCCTTTGTCGTTCCTTGCCTCCCTCACCTTCTCTCTGGCTCGCTTCCCCTCGCCATCGTATCTTCCGCACCTCGACTCGTTTCCAACCCTTTCCCACCCTCCGACGCTCTGACCCGACACCATACATACCCTACCCTCACCCCGGCCGTCCTGCCCCATCACTGCGCATCCAGGTCGGCTCATCCTGCCAGCCAAACGATATCTGACCGTACCTCCTGGCAGGCTCGCCTTCAGAGCTCGCCCTAGCCTCGGAAAGCACACCTTCTCGCTGCGATACCCCCATCGATACCAGCAGCACCACCGCGTTTTTAGGCATCTACCCCACCACCGCCACCGGAACCTTCCGCCATCCCTGCATTCAGAGCCTACCTGCCCGCCTGCCTGCCGAGTACCGGTCGCTCGCAACGCCGCAACTAGCTGAGCCGGGCTGCGTGAATGGCACGCCCTATCCCCTGATATTCATCAACCTCGTACCGCCTCCCGGCGTCTCCTCCGGGGACACTGTCTCGGACTGGTCCTGGCCACTATGGCGGACGGCGTCAACTTGACAAAGTGAGTGGATTGTCGGCGGGATTGCCGAAGCGCGAGCGAATGCGTGCAGGACAAGCTGCCTTGCTTGCTCGCTTCGCCCATCGGCCGCTTCCGAAAGCCACTGTCTCCAGCCTCAGCCCTGGGGGAACATCGTCCCGACTGCCAGGATGATGACGGCCAAGGCCCGATCCCGCATACATGTGCTGACGCTCTGGGCCTGCCCCTTTATGACCTCGATCTGCGCTTCCGCCCTTCCCTCGCCAGGTCGCGCGCGCAATGGGAAGCGGCGCTCAACGGCGCGATCGGCACGTTCCGCGCCTTGGTCTCGGAGTCATCGTCCAAGGCGTGGAAGCCGGTCCCGCACAGCGCATCGGCCGCGCCCAACGCATCTGTGACTGCCTCGACCCCGGCATCCAACGCCGGCTCCCTCCGCGGCTCTCCCGCCATCGGTACCTCGTCGTCGTCAGCAGCGTTCAAGGGAAAGGCAAGGGAGCCGACGCTGCGACCCGCCCTGTCCCATACCGACCTCGCCGGCCGCAACCAGAACGGCAGCGCCGGCGCCAGTGCTGCGGACGATGCCGGCGCTGCTTCCAACGGCACAGATCCGCAGCCGTCTTCTGGGCCCTTTGTCCTGAAAGCGCTCCGGTCGGATCGCGTCGTCGTCCATCGACGGAGCGCAAAGGGCGCCGACATGTACCGCGCCGTGGCAGAGGTGCCATACGACGGACAGGCGGATCTCATCGCTTTCCAGTCCATCCTGCAGACGCCAGACGCGCGATCAATATGTGAGCATCCGAAGCCTTCTAGCCTCAGCGCAAAACCGGCTGCTCGCTGTGCATCTAAGCTGACGAGACCTGCAAGGCTTGTCCAAACTCTCCCTCTCGCTCCTTCTTACGAACTTGCGCCGACCTGCCAGGGGATCGGCTGGTCGACGGCGGTGAGCTGATCGAGCAGCTCGACCCAAGCACCCGAGTGTGCAAGACAAACTACCGCCTGGGCTGGCCTGCGAGCCCGCGCGATGCCATCACCATATCCCGCACGCTGGCCGACGACTCGGTGCTGATCGACGTGTCGACTTCGCTGCCGCGCTCGCCCGACGCCCCCGCGTATCTCCGACCCGCGCCGCCCTGCGTGCGCTCCCACGTCCACCTGATGGCGTGGTGCATACAGGCGATGCCAGCCGAGACCTCGGCCACCGGTGCGAGAGGCTCGGCGTCGAGGATCAAGATCACGGTCTTCTGGTCTTGGGACCTCAAGGGCGCGTGGCTGGGCATGCCGTCGGGCGGCCTCGGCGTTCAGCTGCCGGATCTGATCAAGGGCCTCGTCCGCCAGGTCCGAGAGGGCAGCGGCCACGTCCCCGCCGTGCTCAACTTTGGCAGCTGCGTCGAGGTGCTCTCGAACTCGTTTGACCCGTCGCGCGACACCCGCCACACCGAGTATGCCATCGTCATCGAGGACGAGGCGGCGCGGCTCGCCGAGGATCGCGCCGAAAAGGACCTCGACACCCTCAACCGCATCCGCGCACGGCGACGTCTCGAGGCTGGGATCGAGTACTCGCTGCCGGCGACGCAGGGATGGGACGTCCAGGTGTCGGTGCGGTCGCAGACGCGCTCCAGCCAGAGCGCCGCGTGGCACGCCGTCGCCGAGCGGCCTGCCGGCTCGCAGCGGATCCTGCTTACCATCAGGCACGCCAAGCTCGAGGACCCCGATGAGATTGTCAAGGCGACGGTCCGGGTGCAGCGGGTGGCCGCCAGCACGGGCCTCCGCCTCAACGACTCGCCGTTCGACATTGTCGAGAGCGAGCCGCGCACCGCCACCGCCCTGTCGGCCCGCATCGTCGAGGACACGGCCAGCGTCTCCAACATCTCGATCGGCACCGCCTCGACCGGCGGCAGCTCGTCGGCCCAGGCGCTCGGCGCCATGGCCAATGCATCGCGCGGCGGCACGCCCAACCCGGCCGGCTCGCTCGGTGCCATCAATGCCCTTGTGCGCCGCAACTACATCTACTTCACCAGCCTGCTTCAGGAGCCCGAGGCCAAGTGGAAGCCGGTCGCCGACACCAAGGGGGTCACTGTGATGCAGCTCGACTCGATCGACCTCACGCTGGTCGTCTACCGCGCCGAGGCCACGTTTGTCGGCGTGAGCGTGTGGGACCTCTTCAGCACCATCAGCAATCCGGGCGCTCAGGCGTTCTGGGACAAGGGCCTGGACGATGCCACGCTGCTCTCCGACGTCAGCGACCTGAGCTCGCTCTGGCACCTCAAGACCAAGCCCGCCTGGCCAGTCAGCGCGCGCGACTCAGTCACGGTGCAGACGGCCTACAAGTCGCCCGCCTCGGTCCACATCTTTTCCTTTTCCACAGACGACCGGAACCACTTCCCCGCCATCCCAGAGCCCGAGTCTGGTACGATCCGGACCCAGATCGACCTGCGCGGCTGGTCGGTCGAGGCTCTCTCGCCGACCACGGTCCACGTCACGATGCTCGAGCAGTCGGACCCAAAGGGCTGGACGAGCAAGTCGTCGACGCCATCGGCCATGATCAACGCGGTTGCCGGCGTCGGAGAGTATGCCATCAAATTTGGTGGCCCGCCCGTTGCCACGCGGCTGCTGGGCGCCCAGGCGAGGACGTCCAAGTACGACCACGACAAGGCCACCTTCCGGTTCGAGTACGAGGCCGTCGACCTCGGCGATGATGCCGCCGAGGCGCCCAACGTCGAGTGTGAGATCCGCTGCGACGTCGAGGTGTGGGCCTCGAGCCTCGATCTCGTCGTCGACCCGCCGCCGATCTCGGTCTCGTGTCTGCGCAGGCACAGGCTGTCGCAAGGCGGCGGAGGGCTGTGGCTGACCATCGAGCACGTCGCCGCCTCGCTCGAGGACGACCTCGCGCGCATCACGGTGCGCAAGGGCGCGTCGCGCGAAAAGGGCTCAGTCTACGTCAACGGCGCGCAGATGCGGGTCGACCTCGACGAGATCAAGGGCGACGAGGTCAAGCAGCTCAGCAAACAGAAGCGGACCAAGCCCCAGCGCGTGCCGCTCGATCTCGAAGCGGCGCCGCGCAAGCCGACATCCGGCTCGACCAGGAACAAGGCCCAGGACGAGTCGGCCTCGTCAGCCGTCGCCGGAAGCGCCAGCAGCGAGATCTCGGATCTGGATGGCGCAGCGACGCGCGACGAAGTCCTGGCCGGCACCACACCGGGTCGTGTCCACCGCGGCGGCAATCGCGACGACGAGACGCCGATGCCCACCACCAACACCTTTTTCTCAGACGAGCGGCCGCGCCAGCCGATGACGTGCGCACTGGATGTTCTCTTCCTCCTGCGCCGCATCCATGCAGAGCGGAGCCCCGACCCCGCCGGCAATCCGGCGGGCTGGGCGCTCGTCTCGGAACGCAACGGCCTCTACGTGCGTCGGAAGCTGATGGAGTCCATCTCGAGCACCGTCGTCGTCCAGCGCGGCGACAAGGTGGTGCAGGGCCTGTCGGCCGAGGACCTCGTCGACGTCGTCTCGAGCCTTGGATGCCGCTCGCAGTGGGACGACAAGGTGGACACCACCACGCTGCTCGAATGCTACGGCAACGGCGCCACGACCTCGTTCGTCACCACAAAGGCGAGTTTCCCCTTCCGCGGCCGCGCCTTCCACCTGGCCAGCCTGACGGCTCGGGCGGCGCCGCCCGCTTTCCTCACAGCGTCGGGCGCCGGTCCCGATGGCAGCTCGATCCTGCCGCCGTCGTTGGCCTTGACGCCTTCGTCGCCGTCGTCTGCGTCGTCGCATTCCTCGGCAGCAATGTCGGGCCCCTCCGTCTACTTCCACGCATCGGCCTCGTTCCCCGAGCAGACGTCGCGCTACCCGCAGGAAAAGGTCAACCCGCTCGGCCTGCCGATGGGCAAGGTGTTGATCGACGGCTGGATCCTCGAGACGCTGGATCCCTACAGCTCGACCACATTCCAGATTCCCTCGACGCGCTGCACGCACGTCGTCGCGGTCGACTATGCCGGCTCGCTGCCCGCCGCGGTCAACACATTGTGGAACTCGAACCTCCCGCGTTCGATTCTGTCCATCGAGGCCTTCCTCAAGGCGCGCGGTGCTCTGCCCTCGGTCAAGACCCCGCCAAGCTGCATCCAGGTCCTCGGCGACGGCCGCGACGAGGACCAGGGCCTGATTTGGGTCCTCGACGATCCTGAGCGCAAGCATCTTCTCCTGTCCACGGCATTTGACCCGCCCACCCGAACATTTGCCACCGTTAGCCTGACGAAGCCAGCTCGCTCGAGCTTGCCACCGCTTCCGCCATCGCCGGAGCCGGCGAGGATCAAAGCCAAGACGGTCTCTGACGCCTCGACCACCAAGGCGGCCGCAATCCGCGCAACAGCATCGACCGCCACGCTGACGCCGTCTTCGGCGCTTTCGGGCCAGCCGACCAGCGAGGGCATGTCCGGCACGGGCGGTGTCTCCCTCTCGCGCGCCACGTCGATGAACTCGATCACCAGCACGGGCGCCAACGCCTCGACGCCGTCCACGCTGCGGGGTCGGCCGTCGGCCATCCGCGCAGACTCACGGAGGGCCGTCGACATGCTGCTGATGGAGGTCGAGGTGGAACTGCGTCACTTCTCCAAGGGCTACGACGTTCAGATCTTTTCCGAATTCCTGCCCCGCCCGTCATCGTTGCAGCCGCCACAGCCGGCGCCGCCGTCATCGCCATCGCTTTCCCACCCCAAGGACACGGCTTCCACGGCCGAGGCCAGCTCTGAGGCGCAAGGCAAAGCGACATCGGAAGGCCGATCCAGGAGCCCAGAGCGACCTTCGGCATCGAAAGAGACTCTATCGCTCTCAATGGCATCGGAGCCGAAGCAGGACCTGCCGATCCAGATCAAGGTGTTCGACCTCCCACCCTCGGCCGTCTTGGCCGCTACGCTGGATCCCTCGGCTCGCCCTCGCAAGCATCTCGTCCGTGCGACACTGCCAACCACGGCCTTCCTCGACCCGATCGAGGACCCGCTGACCGGCTCCAAGCCTCCGGAGGTGCCAGATTGGTACACGAGGCTGCAGGATAGCGGCGCGGTCCTGCGAATGGTCGTCAGGCCGCTCAATCCGCTCGCGCCGACGGATGCACCCGCATCGTCGTCGCAGGGAGTCGGCGGCGCCGCCTCCTTTTCCACGCCCGTGGGCAAGGTGCCCGTCCGATGCGCCGGGGCCAAGCTGGACGTCGTCCACGTCAACCTCACCTCGGCCATGCTGCAGAAGGAGCACGTCGGCGCCGAACCCTTCGCCCAGCTGCGGAGGGCGCTGCCGCCCTCGCCCATCTCCAGGGCGTTGCGCCACAGCAAGAGGGGCGAAGAAGAGGACGAGGACGGCGACGCCGACAACGACAACGACAACGACGATGACGGCGACGCTGAAGACAACCTCCGAGACTCGAGGCTGCCCAGGTTGCTCCAAAGTCCGATTGCGGCGGACCTCGAGCTGCGCAAGCCAGCGCAGAGCGATACCCCGATCGGCCTTTCGTCGAAGTCGGGGAGCGGCAGCAGGGCGGAGGCGACGGCGACGGCGAAGGAGGGTGACCCGGACAAGACGACGGGAGCTGCGAAGAGTGGCGATGCGCTTGGCGCCTCGGCCTCGACGTCGGCAAGCGGATCCGGGCGACCGGCCAACGCTGAAAGGGTGAGTTCTTGCGAGACGGCGAACGGGGAAGCTCGCTCGCACGCGATCTGGTTCGACACGCGCTGGTCCGACCGACTCACCTCCGTGTTGCTCCGCTCCGCGGCTTCATCGCTACCGCGTCTACACCCCTGCTGCCCCCTCACAGCCGGACGCCAAGGCACCCACCGCCAAGCCAGAGAGCAGCTCGACCAATTCGCTCATCCACATCCTCAACAGCTACCCACTCTCACGTCTCGGAACGGGCTCGGCGCTCGCATCCTCGCTCACGTCAGTCTCGAGCGTGACGGCCAAGGGCTCGTCGGTGGCCTCGACGTCCACCTTCCAGACCAAGGCCGGCTCCCTGGCCGGCGGCGACATCCGACGTTCGCCCACGCCCAACTCTGCCGGCGGCAACGCCGGCGCCGGTACCGGTGCGGGCGCCAATGCCAAGGACAAGTCGACAGCGGCATCGGCGACCGGGTCCGGGTCGTCGTCGTCGGCTTCTCCCACATCGGCCGCCGCAGCCGCCGTGCAGGAGTCGGTCACGGCCGTGGCCCAGGCGGCCGCGCGCAAGCGTTTCAGCACGGGCAGCGTCCTCATGATCGCCCTCATCGCCTTCCTGCTGGGCTCGCTGACCCGGAGCTTCCTCACCCCCGTCGACTACGTCCTCGTGCAGTCGTCGCCGTCGTCGTCGGAGCAGGCTGGCGGCGGCATCCGCAGGACAGCGGCCGCGCTGCAACAGCAGCAGCAGCAGCAGCCGCAAAAGGTGACGCCGAGGCTGTCGGATGCCGCCGCTTCCGCAGCCGCTTCTGCCACCGCCAGCAACGCGGCCGACGACAGCAGCAGTGGCAGCGGCCTGTCTGGCGAGGTAGAGCGGTACCTCCGGCTGCTTGGCGGCGGCGGGAGCAGCAGCGGCGCGCCACTGTCGACCCTGGCGCAAGACGACGGCGCACCGCAGCGCCGATGGCAGGAGATCCGGCGCCTGCTAGAGCTCAAGAGGATCTGGGGCCGGTGGACGCTCGTCCTGGCCCTGATGCGGAGGTAGAGGCGATAGATGATGGGCGATAGGGAGACGCGGGTATACATGGAGGGATGCTGCGAGGAGAAAGGCGGACGGGCCCTGGAGGGGGACATGGGAGATGCGGGTGCGCTGCGGTCCTAGCCGCTACAGCGCCAGACCGGTGATGCGCAGGTTCCTGGAGCACGAGCAGCGAGGATCAGAGGGGCATGAGCATCGCCGACGCTCCAATATCACGACCGAGGCGCGCAACGGCCACTCACTCGCGCAGGATCGTGTCGTTGACGCTGTTTAGGATCGCCTTGATCTGCCTCGTCGACTAGCGGTGGCGGCGGCGGCGGCGGTGGCGGCAGCGGCGGAGTCGAAGCAAGGGGACGACGAACGCATCGGATGGTCAGTATGGCAGGGCGACCAGCCGCCAGCTCGCCTCGCACTACCATCTCGATCGACCTGCGGCAGCGGCGCCATCCGCCGACTCACGGTGGCAATCGTCGTGTGGACGTAGATGGGCCGCTGGGGCGCCACGCTGCGGCTGCTCGTGACGCGCAGGCGGAACTCCTTGCGAAAGTAGCGCCAGACGTCTTCGAGCTCGTTTTCGCCGTCGAAATCGGGAAAGTGGTCGGCCACCTTGACGCCGCGCAGCAGCTTGCGCTCGAGGATGTCGATCTTGTTGAGAAAGAGGATGAGCGAGACGTCGCGCAGCAGCGGGTTGGCTGCAATCTCCTCGAAGAGGAGCAGCGAGTCGGCGACGCGGTTGACGCTCGGATCCTCGAGCAACGTCTGGTCAAACGCCGAAACGGGGGCAAGGAAGATGATGGCGTTGGCGTCGTCAAAGTACGAGGCCCACGCGTTGCGCTGGCTCCGGCTGCCGCCGACGTCGTAGAGGTGGTAGGTGGTGGCCTTGTCGATGCGGATGCGCTCGTCGCTGATGCCGACCGTGCGGACGCGGGCGTAGAGAATGTCCTCTTCGAAGTCGTAGCGCAAAAGGGCAAGTCAGATCGAGTCCGTCAGCAAAAAGGCCAGCCAGGCAGAGGAATCGACGGCGGGCCCAGCAAGCAACCCTCGGGACGATTTGCCGCAGTCCGAGCGTTCCAGGGGATCGTGCACCTACCATCAGTCGGCTCGTAGCCCCGCTGAGCGATCCTCTCGTAGTTGTTGAGGAAGCTGGCGTGGGAAGGAGAGGGAGAGGAGGAGGAGGGAGAGGGGTGCAGAAAGGCAAAAGCGTGATGCGGTTTGGTCAGGATACCAGCTCCGGCTCCCACTTTCGTACAAAGCAGCCGTGGTGGACCTACTAGATATCGCTGTCGCTTGACTCGAGCTTGCCGCGCTTGCGAAGCTTCTTCGCGCTCGGGCTGTGCCAGAGCTGCAGCACGTCCTCCTTGAGCGCGATGAGCATCTGCTCGGCGCTCTCGCGCTTCATGCGCCTGCGCGTATAGATGCGCTGGTATTCAGCCGTCCGTCCCTCGGCGCTGCTGCCGCCGCCCGCCGACGCGTCTATCTGGCCCAGGACCGGCGAAGACCGCTTGCGGCGCAGCGATCCGATCAGGTCGGCTCGGCCGCTCGAGGAACGCGTCGACTCGGCCACCGACTCGGCATCCGACTCGGTGCCCTCGCTCGACAGCCAGCCAAGCTTCTCCATGATCCTGTCCTGCCAGCCGGCGCGGAGGAGGATGGGATGCTGCGGGCTGCGGCTCGTGGGCGAAGCTGGCTCCGAGAGGTTCGACCAGGGTGAAGGCGACCGCCCACTCATCGACCCAACTTCTTGCTCCTCGCCAATGGCCCCCAGGCGCTGCCGCAGCCCCTGCTCGAGCGAGAGGATCGGTGCCAGCTTGAGGCGGTCGAGCAGAGCCCGCTTCTCGGCGGCCGTGGCCATGATGCTGGGGCTGGGTGAAATGGCGCGCTCGGCGCCGCTCGCCGCGGTCATCGCAGAGTTTTGGCTTTCCGGCTCGGCGGCGGCCTCGAGCCGCTCGAGGCATTCGAGCAGCCCGCGGAGCGCGGTGATGACGTTGAGGTGGACAATCTCGCGCCACCAACGTCGGTTAGCCTCGTGCGCCTTGGGCTCGTACAAAAGCCGCATCTGCGTACGACATGGGACCGTGCCACGCATCAATGATGGGCGTCAGCATTGCAAGCTCCCTCGGGCCCGAGAAGGACAAAGGTCCGCGCCGGCTTACATACCTGCTTGAAGATGGTGGTCTTGCCTGCACCCGCTTGACCTGTCGTGGTCAGTCCGAGCGAGTGCGACATCAAAACAATGACAGGAGGGGCGAGCGGCTGGGTCAACGCTGGCCGGTCGAGCCAAGCCACATCACGTTGCGAGTCTGACAGGCGCGGTGGGGGCCCGCTCACTCACCGAGGAGCAGAATGCGGACTTCGCCCTGCTTCTCCTTCTTGCGCCGATTGGCATCCTCGCGAAGCCTCTTGTCGATCTCATCGCTGACCTTTTTTGCCTCGGCCTCGCGGGCGAGTCGGGCGGAGCGCTCCGCCGGCGTCTCACGGGCAGGCGGTCGAAGGGCGAGGGTGATGGGGTCCTCCATGTCGATGGCGAGGGCTCGGTGAGCGGCAACGGCGGGTTTGGCAAGGCAATAACCGAGGAGAGACGACGGATTGGCCCGGGTAGTGCGATGGCGGCGGCGACGGCGACGGCGACGGCTGACCTTAATGCCTTTTGTACTTGTACCGGACGCGCCTTAGCGTTGAGCTGCGAGTCTCTGACTGCGGAAAATCCGCAGGCGGCTCAACCGGCGGGAGGAGGTGGGTGCTGTCGTGAGATGAAGCAATGCAAGCGGCGGAAGCAGCAGCAAGGGATGATGAACTTGCTTCGGGGCAGAATGCTAGCCTTTCGCGGCCGGGACAGGTCGAAGAGTCTCCGAGGGCCTGGGTCCGCTCGTTGGGAAAACCCCAGCGCGAGCGAGCGAGCGCGGAAGATGAAGAGACCTCCTCCGAGCCTTGCAGGTGCTGCAGTAAGAGGGGGGACCGAGACGAGCACGCGTTCGGAGGATATCGAGCACTTGGTGGCCCGAGTGTAGCAACGGCGCCGGAGCGGTGCGAGGGCGATTCGAGCAATGGGCTGGAGCCGCGGCGGGGCAACTTTGTCGTCGCTCAAGGGAAGACCAGATATTAGGGCTGAGTTGGTCTTGCGTGCTCGTTGGATGTGTATGCGCGACGGTAGCCTGGCCGTGGTGGGAGAGCGAGGACGCAGGGGCAAGAGATGATGGGGAGGAAGGCGCGGTAGGCAAGGAGGAGAGCAGAGCGGCGGTCGCAAACAGATGTGCAGCAGATGGTAGACTGAAGGACGGAGACGAGGGCGAAGCCGAAGGTTGTCCTGATCAGGCTAGGTGGTTGGTAGAGGAGAGCGTCGGAGGGAGGGGGACCTGTGCAAAGGGGGAGGAGGAGACGGACGATGGAGGAAGGAAGCGCGTGTACATGCCCCCTTCAGCAGCAGAACTGGACGTAGACAGCGAGAGGGTTCACGGCGAACCGGAAGGCACGAAGCAGGGAGAAGGACGATAGGTGAGGAGAGGGCCAGGATCAAGCAAGAAACGAATGAGGGGGAGCCAAGGCGAAGGGGGCGGACCTGCGATGGGGTCAAAAGGAAGGGCGAGGGGAGCATGAAGTTTATACCGAGCATAGGCAGGCAGGCAAGGCAGGTGGAGATGCGGGCGCGGACCCTTGCTTGCTTGCCTGCCTGCTTGCTTGCTTTGCTTCTTCCATGCCGTGTGTGCCTCGCAGATGAAGGCCTCTAGCGAGCCAGTCAGCCAGACGACCGCCCTGCCATATGCATGATGCCTGGTCAGCGTGCCCTTCCACGCACGAGGTCGATGGACGGCCACCCTCCTCTAGGCTAGGCTAGGTTTGGCCAGTCGGGTTGGCGGGGCGCAGAGCCAACCCTGAGCTTGACCTGGCTAGCCGTGGCTTGCTGGCGTCGGCGACCATCCGGTTGGGCAGGCCAGCAGGTCGCCGGAAAGCTGCCGGCAATGCCGTGCGCGGGGCGAGCTGGCCTGCCTTTCCGGCAGAGCGGGAAGGGTAGCGAGCGAGCGAGCAAGCAAGCAAGCAAGCAAGCAAGCGAGTAGTTGGTGGGCGAAGTGCGCGGGGCGCAGGGACAAGCGGGGCATAGCGGCGGGTCCTATCTGAGCAAATCGGCCAGATGAAGCAGGCAGGCCAGCAGGCTAGGTTCATGGTTGCATGGTGTGATTCGGCCTCCTGGCAGCAGCGAGGCAGCAACCAAGCAAGCAAGCAAAGCAAGACAGGGCTTAGAGACGAACATCAGCAGGCCAGGCCGGGCTGGTCAGGTCGCGCGCGCCAGAGGCCGGCAGGGATGCTGCATGGCATAGAGGCCCTTGCCTGGCTCCGGTCTCTATCATGCTCACGGCGATGCGAGCGGGGCGTACGTTTGGCCTATCTCGCTCGCCCCCTCTTTTCTTACGGTGCCCCTCTGTCTGAACTCGACTCGATAACCGTGGTCTCGGAAGGGCCGGTGATGCTTGCCAGCGAGCGACGAAGCCAGCGGAAGGGAATCCGATGATATCGAGGGTCAGACCCCTGGCCAAGCCAAGCTGGAGCGGAGCAGTGCCGAGCTCGCCCTTGGTCAGCCCCGAAAGAGGGGAGGGACCGTCCCGCTCTCCTGCTGCTACGACGAGATCCTACCTACCTCTGCTTGCCTGCTTATTGCTGCAAGGCCATCGTCGACCGTCGACCGTCGAACGCGGCGATAGGGTACAACGGCTGCCATGCATATCTGTAGGAAGCCGTGCGTGCAAGCAAGCAAGCAAGCTTGCAAGCTCAAGCTGCGCTGCAGCTGCGAAGAGCCGTGCGTGCGGGACGCAGCGAGCAGCAGCAGCACCAGCAGCACCAGCAGCGTGGGGCGCTTCCTCGCCGACCCCAGCCCGTTTTGCGGGTGGAGCGTGCAAGCGAGCGAGGGCTGCACGCAGCGCCTGCAGCGCAGCGCACGCACGCGCCACCCTTGGCTTTCCTCTCTCTGCTTCTGCTTGCTTGTGGAATTAAGGTTTCGTGAGGCCCCAGTCTAGTCCCCGCATGCCTGGGGAAAGGCAGAGGCGGCCGGCTAGGGTGATCAGCCGGCCAAGCAAGGCTAGCACATGCATGCCCACAGGCAGGCGGCTTCGAGCCACGGCTAAAGTAGGCCGGAAGCGCTGCCTGGCCCGCCTTTCGCCGTGTGATCTTCATGTGATCAGACTTCAACGCCTCTCTAGGACGTCTGCAGGCAACCCCTATCAACTCGACTGCTCTGAAGAACAAACTGGGATGGATTCGGATGTAGAGGTGACGAGTGGATGCCGGGGTAGGAGGGGTAAAAGTACAAGGACCTGAGCGGCGCTTTCGACCAAGACGAAGGGGCCCGCCGAGCCACAACGGGGGAGCCACGAGAGCAGAGTAGGTAGTCAGGACCAGAGACGGACTGAAGGAGGTGAAGGAGCGGAAGGGCCGAAGGAGGTGACGCTCCGGAAGACGGCCAGGCAAGCGCCGCTCGCGCACACCGTCGTCACCTCGAACCGGGCCGGCCGGAGAGACTCGATCCGAAGAGAAGCCAGGTCCACCAAGGCGGCAGGCTGCCGACGAGGTCGAGGAGGGTCGATGAGAAATTGTGGTGCTGCAAAGAAATGGGCGACGTAGTGCGATCGTGTTCTGGATGCGGTCGCGCGCGAGTCGGTGGTCGAGCTCAATGGCGCTCCGCCGGGTATCATCGGAATGCAGATGGCGGACGCGCGAGGACGTGCGGGCGAGAGGATGAGAGAATGGACGAGGGAATGAACGAGGTGGACGAAGAAGCACGAAGGGCGCTGGCAGCGACGCCGCAGAGGACTCGTCAGATGTCGATGATGGCGGCGCAGGCGGCAATAATCATGTCGGTGACGCCAGCCAGGGGCGGGCAGTCGCCGCTGCCCTGCACCGCGTGCACCTCGGGTCCTCCGACGAGGCCCAGCGCCTCGAAGCCTTCCTGCACCAGCTCGAGGCCGCGCCGGCCATCGCAGAAGCCGAGGACGACGGGGAACGAACCGGCGCGCGGGATGCGAGGGTCAACGAGGCTGTTGGAGTGGTCCACGTCCGGAGCATCGAGCACTTGGCCGGCGATGCGGAAGCTCTCGATGTTGGACGTGGTCCGCGAGCGAGCTGGCTTGCGCACAGGCGGCTGCGAGGCGGCGATGGTGGCGGCGGCGGCGTCCTTTGCAGCTCCATGTCGGTTGCTCGACGGCGCAAACGATGTCGAGTGGCGCGAAGACGAATTGAAGCCCAGCCGTCGGTACCACGACGAAGAGTGGCCGGAGCGCGGCTCGCCCTGGCCATGCTGCTGCTGTCGGTGGCCCGTGCCGCTGCCATTCGATGTGCCCGTCGGGAGGGCCCGGGCGCCGATCGGGTTGGCCGCAAGCTCGCGGTCGGTCGATCCGCTGTCGAGCCCAAACGCGGCCGAGCCTGCGCTGCCGCACTCTGAGTGCGGCGACGGGTCGCCAAAGGGCGTAAACGAAATCCGCATGTACCTCGAAGCCGGCATGTTGGCGGGACGGCCGATCAAGGGCAGGGGCACCAGCATCGTCAGCGCATCGGCAGACACCCGGTCCAGCCCGAGCAGCGCGTTCTCGTCGTCAGTGTTGCGGGGACGCGGCGGTCGCGCCTCGAGACGGCGGGGCACCTTGGCAATCGTGGTAGCCGACGCCAGGCTGAGCGCGCCTGCGTCCGCCGAGCGCGTCGTGTCGAGCGAGTTGCCCTGCGCATCGTCAGTCCAGCCATAGATGCGGGCCAGCGAGGCGTTGACGGCGGCCCTCGACTGCATCATGCTCAGACGCTCCGATCCGGACGCGGAGTTGGCGGGCAGCGACATGGACACACCGTGCACGTCGGCAGGGGGCGCTTGCGCCTTCTGAGATCGGCCCGCCGGTCCGTCGGCGAGCTCATGGCTCTCGCGGGACACTGCGGCCGTCCCCTTGCCGGGGCTACTGGTCGCGTCGGCGTGCGCCTGGCCTGCCACGCACGCCGAACCTCGGCGGGAGCCCATGATGGTCGATTCCGGTGAGACGGGACGCTCCACCAGCGCCTCGATCTGCTCGAGCGCCTTGCGGGTCAGGGCCATGGCTCGGTTCGGGTTGGTCCTGGGTGCCGATGGGCCCGCCGCTGCCGCCGCCGACGACGACAGCGGCACCATGGCTGCTGGACCGCGGGTGCCGTCACCGGCGGGGCAGCTGGGTGGGCTCAGCCCTCTGCTCGAAGCGGACGATACGCTCTGCGAGCCGCCGACCTTCCTCTTGAACCAAGTGCCGATCTTGCGGTCCCTGCGTTGCGACTGCGACTGGCTCGGAACAGAGACAGCAGGCGACCGGGCGTTGGCATTGACGACCGCGGCCGACGTCGATGCGCTCCTGGCCGAGATGCTACCCGGCGTGACCGACTCGGCCGTCCGGATGCGAGAGAGGGCGACATCCCTCGGAAGCAGCATGCCGTGGCTGTGCGCCGTCCTCCGGCAGCGCTGCTCTTCGTCGACCTGCATCGAGCGCCGGACAAGTCCCTCGGACGGGAAGCCCGGGAACCGCTGCTGGTCGCGTTGCTGCGTGTTGTGCTTCTGCTGCGTGCCGAGGTCGGCAAAGGTCGGAGGGGGAGCGTCGTCTGCCGACATGGGCCGGACCGCCAAGCTGCTCGCCGCCTCAAAGGGCGACCGGCAATGCCCGGCGAACAGGCTCTCCTGACCCTGGAGGCCCGCCGACGAAGGCGTCCGAGGCGAGGCCGGCGATGCGACCGACGTCTTGCTGCGGACCGACTCCGAGACGGGCGCCTCGGACATGCCGCAGGTCGAGGCCTGGCTGTAGCTCGTCGTGACCGGCCCGACCGACGACTGCGACGTGTGCGATCCGCTGCTTGAGCGGGAGCTGCCGGCAGATCCCAAAGGCGAGGCGGGCGGACGCGCCGAGGGCCAGTGCTCGCCCGGTTGAAACTGTGCGCCAGGCTCTCCAGGCAGCGAGGGGGCAAAGAGGTCTGCCGCGTCGCCGATCCCGATGCCGCTGCCGAGGTGGCTGTCGCTCGTTTTGAGGTAGGGCTTGGATCGCGATCGCCGCAACGTCTGAGTGTGGTCGCGGATGTAGGGCCGCGACCGCGAACGCCGAAGAACGGGGTAGAAGGGGAGGATCTTGGACTCGCTGTGCACCGAAATCGTGCCCGGCGAGGTCGGGCAGCTGTCGATGTCGCTGGTGCGCGCGCTGTCGGTGCGGATGCGGTGCTGGGCGAAGCGGAGGCGATGCACGTCGGGCCTGGCCAGCAGCAGAGTCGACGAAAAGGAGCCAGAGGGCTTGCGCAGGAACCCGAGATCGAATGCGGCCCTGGCGAACGTCGATCGCAGGGCGAGGCCGGGGATCTCGTCCGATGGTCCCAGGCGGTCGCTGACAACGACGGTGCGGAAGCCCTGGTCGTCGCAGCTGAGCCCCATCTCTGGGGCGCAGAAGGACTCGGGCACCACGACCCACTTCTTCTGCCGCTTGAAGCTGGTCGCCACCGACCACGCAATCTTGTTGTACCTGTTCGTCTGCGGGCAGACAAAGTCGGCCGAATAGAGGTGGCCATCCCAGTCATCGAGGTTGCCGATGTCGACAGAGTGCAGTCCCATTTCTTCAATCGAGAGGACGTCGAGCATCTTGAGCGGATCGGCCGGCTCCGGTGACAGGTAGGCCCAGCAGAGAGACCGCGCCGCCGCCGCTGTGGCTGCTGCAGCCGATGTTGGATCCTCAAAGGGAAAGACGCCCGATCCCTCCTCAATGTCGGACGGCGTTGCAGAGCTGTCCGGCGAAGGGTCGAAGCGGTTCTTCACGCGGCTTCGCGGCTGCAGCGGTTCGCGGCGCTGCTTTGCGGCCACGACGTCCGAAGATGCGTCAGATACGCCGAGGCTGGCAAATCCACCGAGCACCTGGTTGTCTGGCTGCTGCGGCTGCCAGGCCAGTGCCGAGTCATAGGCCACGGAGCTTGAATCCGCAGAATCGCCTGCCTCCGCGCGAAGCACTGCGTTCGACGAGAGGATCTCGTTGAAGTCGACGCACTCTGATCGCAAATGAAGCGCAAAGCTGTCCTCGGGTATCGCGCCGGCGGTGATCGCGGCGTTGGGCGGCGCTCCTCGGCTGATCATGTCTTCCGAAGAGCTGCGGTGCATGAAGGGAGCGCCGGAGAGGTGAGGGCTCCGTGCGAAAGGGTGCAGGCCACCAGACTGCGAGCGGAGGTGGGCGTCAAAGGTAGACGTGGGGCTGGCGCTGGACGACTGGGCGGCAAAGGCATCGCCCTCGCCACCCAAGGGCCTCGAGCTGGGACCGGCATCGCCACCAAGATCGAGGCCTTGCAGATCGAGCTTGAGACTCTGGCCTGACTGTTGTCGAGCATGAGATCGGCTCTGCTGATCGGCGGAAGGCGCACCGAGACGGACAGATACAGGTCCTGAAGACATGGATGCAGAGCCGGCCCCGGCGAGGGCGAGGGCGTCAGTGCCCTTGGGCATACCGTGCGGGCGCCTGTCGATCTTCTTGGACTTCTTGCCACCTCGCGCCGCTGAAGCGCTCGCCGAAGGGCGCGGCAGATCCGACGGCATGGCGCGAAGAGCCCCCGTTGATCCGTCGTCGCGGGCCAGCGAAAAGAGACGCTATGCCGAAGACGAAGGAGCAAGGCCGAGCGGGTGCGAGGACAGTGGCAGCCGGGGTGGCGGCCTTCACGAGCCGGGCGCGCACTGGTGAGGCAAACGCGGACGAGACGGCGGTCGGATGAACGGATCCTGGACAACGAGCCGTGAGTCGAGATGGATTGGGGGGACGTCGACAAGCCGTAGGCGGCCGGTTGGCGAGGCGAAGCGGCGGGAGAGATTTGTGTCGAGCGGCTGGTGGACTAGGGATCTTGCGGCGGCGACTCGGTGTAGACGAGCGACGGGCGAAAGGCGGCAAAAGATTCAATGCAAACGCATCCCTGAAGGCCTCGACGTGCGGCGAGCAAAGATGGAGGCGGCGATGGGGTCGGTGCAACGAGGTCGCGGGATAGTTATGGCTGAGAGCGCGAAGAAGGCGCCGCAATCGGATGTTCAAGCGATCGAAGGAGACCCGATCGCACTAGAGGGAGAAGGACGCTTCCGAGAATGATGGCGGCCGAGGATCGGATGTGGTGCAGCCGCTCAAAGATTGAGAGGCGATCGTGTGCTGGATGTCGGAAGCCAGGTGCCACCGTGGGGCGAGGCGAGGCGAGACGAGGCGAGCCTGCTTGTAGGAAGGTGGCAGGCGAAGGTGTATGCCCAGGGAGAGGGATGTGCGATGAGAAGTCGACGTGGTGGTCGCGGCGAGAAGGAGGAAGGGACTGGAAGGGGCGAAGAGTGTCAGGGCTTGGCCAGGCTTGGCATGGCAAGGCGAGGCGAGGCGAGGATGGCAAGGCGACGAAGGGAGGGGAAGGCAGGGGCAGGCAGATGAGTCGGACGGTCGCAGCGCGGGGGGGGAAAGGCAGGCAAGTTAGGCAGGGAAGCAGCTGGGGCCTGGGCCTGGGCTGGGTTTATGCCGCCGCCTCGGCTGGAGCGTTTGCTCTCGTGGCCCCCGGCCAGGCTAGCGGTTCAGTCTAAGGCAGGCAAGGCAGGCTTCCCTAGCCTGCCTGCCTGTCTGCCGGCCTGT